CCTGCAGTTTTTGATTAGGAAGGAAGGCTCTCTTGGAAGCTGATGTTAAAAAGTGAAAGTGGATTTTTATGGGCTGGCTGCAAATGGATGCTTAACCTCAGTCTTGTTAATGAAGAAAGGGCTATGGGTACTCATAAATGCATTGTTCAATGCATCGACCAATTCATATCACAAAAGATAAAAATAACTTTATTTTTGCCCAAGCTAGGCTTCTAAATTATAAATTATTATTGTTATTGACGTCATTATTTCTAGAACTACAATATCTACTCCATGGCAGGCTCTAACACGCAAACCTAGCAGACTTCTTTAAATTATCAATTGTAGACCTGACCTATGATTGATTGGGAATTAATTCAGAATTAATTAATTCGATTCGGGATTAAGGTCAAACTATTCATTAGCTGTAATTTTTGTTATGCTGACCTCATTTTTCTCTTAAAGAAATAATGTGTGTATTGGAATGTGTTGAGGTAAGTTACCAGCCCTTAAATGTGATCGCCTCTCTTTTTATCCTCCTTTTCATCTTCTCATTGTCAGTGGTTCTTTCGACCTGTCACTTCCATTTGATAGTGGATTTTCCTACTCACAGAAAAGCGCGTTGTGTGTGCAATACCGTTTCAGTCTGACCGTTTTGCTCTACCAATCATTAAAGCACAATAAAAGGATTTCAAAAGCGATTACTTCAGGGCCGGCGAAACCAGGAGGGCCGGTGGGACCGTGGCCCCCCACTTGCCTGCGGAGCTAAAGAAAAGTTTTAGGCAAAAGGTGAAATAAATGTAGTATATGATTCTGTAAGTAACTTTGCCTTATATTCCTTATAAATGCGTCTATACCTTGGTTGCTATGTTTTTACCATAGAAGACATACATAAAATTGAAAATGGGAATTAGATCGAAGAAATCGGTCATTGTCTAAGTTTTACAAAAAGTAACAGCTTGGCTTAGCAAATAAATCGAGAAACCTAGTCCAGAATAACTTGGTGCCAGCACAAATTGACGGAGTTTCGTTTTTTCCATTGCCTAAACTTGGCACACAATGTCTATTTGTTAACGAAAACTTTCTCAGAACCATTACAAAAAGAGAGAAATCAGCTGTTGAAGGAAAAGAAACAGCTGGAAAGAACTTTTTTGAGGATATGAGGAATAAAGTATGGGCAGATTTGTTCTTAAAAAGTATCATCAACAAAACTTCAGGGTTTGATCGTTTGGATAATCCATTCTTACCAAGAGAGAGAAAATATCGACACAATTATAAATTCTGTTTAAACTCATTTTGACAAGCCCAGTTTGAAGGTTTTTCAAATTTTTTCTAAAGCACTTAATTTCCGGAAAAGTTAAGAACAGATATTACAAAGTTATATCTTAACTGTACAAAATTGCTTATTTTTTTATTTTTAGTTGATAGTTCTTCTGTTGATATTTCAACGTTAATGCTTTTATTAATCCGTGTTTCATTTATTTTTCTCCCCCATCTTATTTCGGGTACTTTTAAAATCTAAAAAAAGGTTTCATTACGAGCTCTATGATAGTGGTTATTCTAAAACTTTGCAAAACTTTTCTATTTCAAGTCAACTTCACAATAGACGCGACTATGCGACACCTTCAGTCAAAATTCATTTTAGATACAGTTTATGGCCATCCCTAAGACAACATAATTCTAAAAAATTTCTTGCCGCCAACCATGGTGGCGGCCTTTCCTAAACCCTTTCAAGACTTTGATATTTTGGTCCCTCCACTTTCAAATACGTTTCGCCCCCCTCCCCTGTACTTTCGATGCATTAATCAGCGGGTAAAGAAATTCAAGAATCTTTTGCCCTAGCAATAAACAAAAATTATCTTCAAATTCCTTTGGATTTTTTAGAGTTGCTTTATGATATATTGCTTAAGATTCTAAGAACACCTGTTTCTTTTCTGTTGCTCAGATGAAAACAGTTATCTCATTCTATTTAACTGAATTAGCTATATCCAGAACTTAGTTACCTTAAAAGAACGATGATACCTTACCTTCAGCTGGTGCTTTTTTGCAAAGCTGAAAGTAAAATAATATCTACCTAGCAAACTGGATCAAAGAAAGCTTTCTGATTTGAACACGAGGGTCTTAGAGGAAGGTGGGGCAGGAAGGTGACATCAAAAGTTCATGACACTGGCCTTCTCCATGTAACGAATACTGTTTTTATCAGCATTCAGCTCTGCTGGAAGTTACGTACTACAATACAAAGGCTTCATTTAGGAAAGGCTGCATTTCTATAAGCCTTTAGTGTAAAACAACAAAAAACACATCCTTTGCCAAGCATTTATTCGCTAGGCAGTTACAGTAACTGACGGTTTTGAATAAGCTCGAGCTCTGTTAGTTTCTTTTCATTCATGGCTCAGAACCAATAGCGAAGATTTCATTGAAAACACCACCAACTACTGCATTTCATTAGAAAATGCATCGAACTCATAGCAAAGCTGCGTTTAGAACAGAGTGTAGGACGCCAGCTGTTGTGAATTACCTAGGCTGACTTAGATGTTGTTTTTCAAGTACTTTTGCGCTTTTTGCAAGCAAAACAATTCGTTTTGCAGAGTTTATGCAAAACAAGAGAAGAACGTAACAGGTGATAACTGCTTTTTTGCTCTTACTTATTTCCCAGTTCTCAAGCCTCAACATATTTTCTCTGCGGATCTTTTACATTAGATCAATAAAAGTAGAGGAAAAAGGCTAGAAAAAGTGTCCAAGTGTTTTGCCTTGAAAGTAAAGGTGCAAAAGTTATGAGAGTGTTTCTCATAAAACAATGTCAGAGGGCACGCAAAATTTTAGGTCAAAGATTTGAAAATTTCAATATCTGGTCTAAACAGATTTGAACCTTCATTTAATCATCAGTAAGACCTTTTGAAATGGCTTCAGTTTTCAGTTGACTGCGAAAAATTCTGAGGCTATAGGCGTGGCAAAGTGCGCAAAAGTCTGGAAAGATTAATCAATAGTGTAGCGTAAAATTCATGAACAAAACAAACGCTTTACTATCTTTTCACTTCAGAAATATAAATATGAAAATCCAAAGGGCATAAACATTGCTTCTGTTTCGTGCAATCACGATAGAACCTCTGAACTACAAGCCTAAAATAAAAAGGTATGTGTTCCATATAAAATGGCTACATATATTTTGTTCAGGCAGTTGAAGTCTGTGTCTGTCATGTGAATGGTGGGGGGGGGGGGGGATTGTATAATGTGCAGCTAGTGTCAATGATGATGTGCAGTCCTCCAGCTAAAAGTCGTCCTTGGTACAATTTAGGGCTCCCCGGTTTCAAATTTGACCATCATTTTCCCCACTGAAAAGTGAACGCCACCCCGGCGAAAAATCTAACCTCTCAACAGGGCACTTTGAGGTGTTGAGCAAGAAGAATACATAGAAAATATACAAGAAATAACAGAAAACTCGCAGATACAATCATTAAGTGCGCACTTGAAGAAGTAGGTAAGATTATCAGAGACAGAAAGAAAACCCGATAGAGAAATGGAGAGACAAAGGAGAGAAACGAAAGAAAAACAAAAACCAGCAAGAGAGAAGTTTGAATGCACCGAGCTGTGCAAAACAATTAGAGAAGGGCCGTCGCAAGCGGGGCTTGGGGGGGGGGCTGCAGAGAAAAAGTTGAAATGTTACTTGAACAAGCTAAAAAATTGAAGGCACAAGAAGACGAATCGAAAAACATGTCGATAATTCTTCCAATGGATAACAGGGAAGTCGGAAGCGGAGCCAGGGGCTGGAGCCTTACTAATAATTGCCAACTGGACAAGGATTGTTCATTAGTTGTAAATGCCCCAATAGAAGCTAAACAAGAAAGGTCCAATTTTTAGTCACTTACAAAGACCAACTTAGGAATCCTATCTTTAAGGACACTGATTGCTCGCACTGTCCCCCTCTCTTTATGGTAGGGATGCCTGGCAAGAGGGGTCTTGAGAGAGGTAATGTTCTACTACGAAGGGTTATGCTGTTTGTATTATGACGCATTTCGTAGTTATAGTTGCTATATAGCGCTGTACACAGTTTACATGCCAGTATGAAGAGGTTTGCATTGCATGCAGAAAACATGGCCGCAATAACTTTGCACGTGCAAGATCTCTTCAAAGACATTCGTATTCTGCAGACTCAGACACAGTTGAACGGCCACTCGACTTCTTTTCGACGTAGAGATACTGCAGTGAACACAGACAACTGGCGTTAAAAAGATGAAAAAGGCAAACTCAAGCAACAGAAATGCAGCCATTCTGCGTCTGTGGTTTATCTAAATTTTATAAAAGGAAAAACCCACAAGGAAATCATTTTAGATTTTGGGGCTTGTGATGCCTTGCAAATTGTATCCATCTCGCTGTATCATCGTTTGCATTTGCCTACTAACCAAATCTGTAAAGATATTTCGCAAGTTTAAGAATCTATTGCTTGCAAGATATCTATACCAGATAAACTTTTTTGATTTGCTGAGAGCATATTTGTAGCATAATTTTCCCCGTCTTCAATACCACTTTTCATCATAACAGTTATATGACTGTTGAGGTCTTGCAAACTATAGGTTAAATGTACAAATTCCACAGGTTGCAGGCTGGAGGTAAAGTGAAAAATTTCAAAATTGGTGACATCATTTGTTGATTGACAAGAGATAGTAATGCATAATGATAGCAATTACTATGGTGTTGGTCCAATGGTGTTGGTCCAATGGGTATCAAACTTGGAACATATAGAGGTGGACAAATGGAAAGCTCCGTAACAATTTTATAAAGCCACCCTGGGATGCCAAAAGTTTAATTTTTTATTATTCTGGAGATGAAATATTTACAGCACAGGTCATGGTATTTTGAAAAATTGTGTGCTCACTCTCTGCTGCATTATCATCAATGTTTCAAGGTGTTATTGAGATTAAAAAAAAGCTTATCTGGGCTGGGCAAACAAGAAGGAAGAACAAAAAAATTTCAATTTATAAGTACTTTCAAGAAGCTGACATGCTTATCAACTGAACTCTGAATCACTCTACAATATCATCCATCTCAAATGTATCTGTTTCAATTGTAAGCTCAGATATCATGTTATTTGCTTGCCTATTCAAAATGGCTAACTTCAGGTCATCTAAAATGCCAATGGGAGGTTCAAACGTTCTATCATTTGAAAACTCATTACTCTTTTCTATTCCAATTCCAGAGTAGCTATCTGGATATTTTTCTTGGTTCTCCTCATCTTGTTCACAACTGTCTTCTACTTCTTCTTTCTCAGTTGCAATATTTTGACTATCAAAATCATTAACATTATCTATGCTACTTTGGGTACCTTCATTTGAATGAGATGTTGATCTCTTTTTTACAAGATCAAATGGTAACAATCCAACTGGATCTTTTTTATAAGAAAAAATTCTTTTCAGTTCACTCATTAACATTTTGCTTTCCCTTATCTGTTGGTTGCACTGTTCTTCTTCAAAGCGCAACATGTTATCTTCCGTCGAATTTCTTCCATAGGTTGGGTCACTGATAGCCTCCAGGAACAGATCACCTTCAGGTTCCACTAATGCTAAGTTTGGTGAAATAGTCAAAATATTTGAGTTGGATGGAGCAAATGTATCTATGTCATTTTTACCACATTCATCATTTTTTACAAAGCTGGCCATATGGAATAATCCTTCTATCTCATTAATACAACTTCTTGCTCCTTCGAGGTCACATTTGACATTGTCTAATAAATGCTTCATCATTGATTTTTGGCTTTCGTCCATGTTTGCAACAACATCTGCATCTAGAGATACTTCTTCAGAACTATCTGCTTTGAAAATGTTCTCTATTTGCTGAAGAGTACCAGTGGCTGATTTCAAATGAAGAAATGAACTATCAATTTTTACACCCCAAAGAAATCTTTGAGAAGGTAGCATTGTCTTCTTTATGTATTTCTTTTCCATAAACTCGTTTTCCTTGGTAAACATGAATACTGACTCCATATCTTTTAACACACTCTCAGATCTAGTTATAGCCATTTTAAGAGGTTTCATTACACTCTCTATGGATGACAATAACTGTTTTTCCTCTTTATACTTTTCAGTTTCAAGAAACCTTTGCAGCACTTGCCTTATAATTTGAAACATTTCAAAAAGTTGTGACCTTGTCAAACAGATCAAGCTTTTGATCATAGCTGATGTTAAGGCACCTTCATCTAAATAAGAGTCTTTGTCAAATGAAGACATTATATCCTCAACTGCAATACTGCAAATTCCATCTTTAAGATGCAAAAGTTTAAGATGATCTGGCAAATGATTAATTAAATGTAAAACCAATTTTTTCATACTTTCAAAGTAAATTAAAGAATTTTTTGCCATACATCTCCTCAGAGCTATACACATCCCTCTTTTCCTTGGAGCAATCTTTAATACAGGCATACTTGGATGATAGAAAGTGGAGCCCATGGAAATCACTTCGCATTCTCTTATCAATAGAAAACATTTGTCAAAGCATTTGCAAATTGATTCCGAACTGTGAGTGAACATGTCAGTGGTATTGATAGCATCATTACAAATGAATGTGAACTGTTTTGAAATATAAAACTGGTACAAAAGATGACATATGGTGATGACCAAAATCAGTGCATTCAACAATGACAGAACAAGAATTTGGGATGATAGTAAGTTTGAATGAGCTGCACATCCTAATGCAATGCTGAACTGAAGAATCATTAGGGTCATTTGCTTCAAGGATGGTCTTAGATGCTTTTTTTCATCATCTTTAACTACAGTGGTGACTTCAGATCTTTCTTGATTGCTGTCCTTGTCCTCTTCCAAGTAATTTCCACTCACAACACTTGCAGAATCAGCCATTTTCTTATCAATCGTCTTTATGGTAGTCTTTAACTCTGTCTCTGAGAAATAGTTTGTTACGAGTGATTTTCGCAAATACTGCTTAAATTTTGTGAAAAAGTTAGTTAATGAAATATCAGGAACAATCGTGTTTGTGTCTGACAAGGGTAACTTTTCCAGATCCTGCCTTGTTTCAGAGCAGACAGGAACTGAATCTGATGTGTAGGAGCAAAAGTCGTCATTTCCAATTTGCTGCAAGTACATGGATAAAGGTGATCCTTCAAAAACCAGGTCTTCGCAATCATTTCCAGCTTCAAAATTGTCTGCCATCATTTTGGAATACAGGATGCATGTATTCGTAGAAAAGACAGATTGAAGATTGGCCGGTACGAAGGAGCTCGGTCGAAAACGAGGCACTGATACCTTTCAAAACAATAAATAAGTAGTTGTTTCTCTGGTGCGAAATGTTAGGGTGCGGATTGCTCGAGAAAACCATTGTTCTCGAGAAAATCAACCACAGTATTTGCAGACAGAAAGGTATGTTGTATACTTTGCCTCATTATTGTCAAGGCAAATCTAACAATTTCAAATTACGAAGCTGTGCAGACTGAACTCTAGCATATTTTATCCCGTGGTTAATTCCTAGCACTTGCTGTACTGATTCAGTCATGTGTAGTTTGCAGAAAGGTTTCCCGAGGAAACTTACGATTGGAAAACTGAGCCAGACATAGGAATTGACTCTCCCCTTGTTTTGTTTTTTTATTCTTATTGCGAACGTTCGTCAGTGCCTCCTACCTCAGTACAAAAAATGACCTGTCCACTTGATCGAAAACCCCTGTAGACTAGAGCCTTGTTTTTACTGTCATTACAAGCTGATCCATATAGGCTGGAGATCTTTTGTCTGTGCTAAAAAACCTTTATCTAGTCAGTGGATATTTATTGTTAGGATAAAAGCAATATCTGGAGTTTTCAGAAATTTTAACTCATTGTAAAATTTCTAGATGTAAGATGTAAATTATCCAGTTTTATCTCGCTAAATTTTATGGGAATATTTCTTGGTAGTCATATAAATAATTACTCACTAATTACTTTGAAATCTTAAAATAAGAAAAAACAGTTGGACTGCATGGCAAGAGAGAGACAAAAATTTAAAGACCTAGCCACATGATAATTGGTTCCAGTGGTGACATCAGCCACGAGGCCCTGAGGAGAACAAGATTAAAGAAAACTAGGTCATGACCTTTTTAGTAGAAAGAAACACCCTGTTACAAACAGGGAAAGGCAGTTTCACAATCACACAACAATAGAATAATTTTCCAATTAGTCCCCTCCCCCCCCCAAGTTTCTTTAACCAAGTTTAATTTGAAAATCTGATCCTGCCAAGTAATAGGTGGGAATGTGTCCCCCTGCTCCATCTTTAGATAATTCAACCAGTAAGAGTCGAACACTTTACAATGATTTCTACATATAAATGCTGTATTTTTAATTTGCTTACAACAGCATCCTCATAGAGTCATTAATTAACAATCTAGATTCAATTTACCTACCTACCACCATTAATGCATTTAATAAAAACACTGTCAATTTCTGCTTCCTCTTGATTTAGCACAAGGATCCTTGTCAATAAGTCACATGGCAGAAAACAAGAAAAGTTATCTTTACTAAACAATGCAACTGGGCCTGTCCTTTGTAAACTTACTTTTGACTGTTCATTTTGTTTTGGAAATCTAACAGTAATATTAATAGTTTCTCTGCAACTTATAAAACACTGGGTTTTTTTAAGTTGTGCTTTTTATAATGAGAAAGATGTTTTTGCTCCTAGACACTTTTCAAAAGTTTTATGTTATAGTAGATTATAAAATGTGATCTATTGAGTTATTATTTTTTTATTCTAGCTACTACTACCTAGGAACATTAATCATTGGTCACCAGATGGAGTTCTTGAAATTTCAGAAGCTTCTGATGATTTTATCATCTTTCATATTGGGAAAAACAAGTAATTTTACTAAGTGTTTATGTTAGTGCCCTTGACAACTAAATATTCCTTGACCTAAGGTCAGGCGTGATGTCACCATATTTTGATGTGTATAATATGCACCATTTTTTGTTAACTACTGCTTTTTTAGTGTGTTGTTTATATGATGGTGTTGATCTCCCCATTATTTACTGGACTCTGGTCTGGGCTCTTAAATCAAAATCGGGCTTTTATACAAAATTTTTTCCTCACATATGGGGGAGGTGGAGGAGTACATTGTACATTTCTGGACAATAGTAAAAATGCCACCAATAGGAATGGAGAGGCCAGGAGAGAATTTTTTGGAATGAAGGAAGCAAGCATTTAAGGAAAAATTTCATGGATTCTAAAACCTGTCATTTGTCATTAAAAAGCTTGTCCCGCCTAGCAGCGGCACTAGAGAAGAATGTGTTACAAGGATACCAATACAAGATAAGCTTTGAAAGGATGCGCTATTAGAGCAGATTTGTGGGCTGCAAATGTAGAACGTCACCTTCAAGGCTGCATTGATCTTGTAGCAGCAGAAGCTATATATCATCCTGCATCATGACTACTGCTTTTCATGGTAAATGCTGGGCAAAGAATTACAAAGACAGAATTGATGTTTTTGTGAAATTGTTGAATAATTAGTACTCTCATTTACAAGCAAGGATTTTCAAAATTTTTGGCAGGTTAACAATGAGACTTGGTTAGTTTGCTAGTGTTCAACCTATACTCAATTTTATTTCTCAATTGTCCACTCAAATACCTGTTTAGCTTCTAGCTTCAGAATTTGTGCTTTGAATTGTTGCAAGCTATTCATATTTTACAGAATCCATCGGCATATGGATTTGCACCAGTCACTCCTAAGCATGGCCTATAATAATTACTTTTGATTGCACTATTGCAACTTTTCAATGATTTTATATTTTTGCAAAAGCCTGTCTAGTGACAAAAAGCAAAAATTCTCCTAGAAAAAGGGTGTGATGAAAAGGGAATGATCAATCATCTTTCCCGTTTTGGTGATAGTCAGTTTTTGACTAGATCCATAAATGAGAAAGGCTTTTGCCTTCCCATAGTTTGCCTGCTATGGAGCAAACATAATGATCACCTTGGTTATATAGAAAGCATATGCTCTCATAATTTTTTGTTTTGATTTGATACAATTTTCATTGTAATTAAGACTAAAATAAAGGAAGTTGCATGTCTTCTGAATGTGAACATCATGAAATATTTATATTTTTATGTATTTTAATGTTTATAGCTGCAGAAACGAATTATTCAGCCAACTTCACTACACTAACACCAAATACAGGACTGCTAACAGAATTGACTACAGGAAATTTTAGTCACTGTAAGTCTTTTACTTTTCTTTTCGTTCACAAGAACTCTTGTCAATTTTTCAAATTTTTCCATTGCAGCCTGTTACTGAAACTAACAAGCCTATCATGTCAAAGTCAGTGTTATCTACCCTTATCATTTGTGTCACCATTGATTCACACAATGGCCTAGTTTTAAATGAAATTTTATTAATATAACTTCAAGAAATTCAAGCAGAGTGTGCTATGTCTGCAGCTTCTGTAATGCAGTTTTGAATTGAGAACTTTTGACTATTCCTTTTTGCTATGATTATTGCTTTGTTTATGATATTCAGAGTATATTTTATTTTAGATCTACAGTTCAAAAACGAAAAAGTGTCAAGTGTTGTTAAGTTTGAAGTAAGAACTGGGGAAACAGTTGTTTTAGACTGTGAAGCTGATGGGGAGATTCCCCTTGCTATTAAATGGACAAAATATGGTAAGCCACTTCAAGATGTTTCCTATAGGATGGCAGGAACAAAGGACACATATCTTTGGATTCTTAAACTGAAATGGATACTTTTGGCTGATGCTGGAAACTATTCTTGTTTGGTCAAGAATAATCAGACAACCATTACACGAACCTTCATGTTATCTGTATCAGGTAAGAAACAAAACTTTCCAGTTGTTTTTATGAAAAAAATTTCTTCATTTTCTAGTCACTAGATGATTGTAAGAAATTACCCAAAAAGAAAGCAGTATATCTAATTTTACCGCAGCTCATACAATAAGCTGTTATAAGCTTGTGTCTAGAAAAGTAAAATAAAAACAGAAGAAAAAACAAGACTAGGCTCTGCAAAGCGTTTTAACCATGCAAATGAACGTTTTGGCAAAGGGAGAAGATGATACATGAAGTAGTTCTTCAACGCAATTATTGCAACAGTGAAGCATAATTGTTGACACATGTCAATGATTTGTATTTTAATCGAAAATTTATATTCATCAAAGTGAAGCGAACAGAAAACAAGACTGCAATGCGTTCACCACAATTGTAAAACTATATTTCACATACAACGTTTTGATAGTTTATGCAGGTTGTTCCTTGTAAATTCCTACCTCCTCATTGTTGTTTAAGTGTAGCACCTAACGTCTAAATAGAAACCTTTTAAAAAGTTCTGGGTCTTTGATACTCTTCTGTTTTCCTGTCAGCAGTTTTTCCTAGCTATTTAGATTCAATGCTTAAACGCCTTTGATGTGGATTGCTGACTATTTCTCTGAATGTAATGTTCAATAACGTCTCGGGCTATTTCATAATATCTTCATTTTTAAACAGTCAAGGTAAAAGCATCAGTTTGTGTATTGTTGAAACCGCTAGTTTTCTGAATTTATTTCGCATTGCAAATTTGACTGCATTTTTGTTTTCACTTCTTTACCTAGAAAAGAAAGAGACTTTAAAACCGAGGATCGCAGATTTTTCACCGCGCAATCTCACCGTAACTGTTGGTAGCAGAGTTCACTTGCAGTGTCATGTCGAGAGCCAGTTCATTGACACTGCCCCATACATCAAGCTTGTGAAACATCTGAAGATTTTCAAAGGAAATGAAACGAATGGTACAATATTTTTGAACGCAAAAAATAGCACAGTGGATAGAGAAGCTTACAAAAAGATCGATAGATTTTACGAAGTTACTGAAAAGAGAGATTATTTTGAGGTAATAGAAACCAAAAAAATAGAGAGAGCGTTTTCTTCCGAATTGGTGTTAAATCGTGTTGACTTGAATGATGACGCAACCTATACCTGCATAACCTTCAACGATGTTGGATATTCAAAGGAGAACATGTATCTTCATGTAATTCCAGGTGTGTATTCGAACATTCTTAAGCAGATGTTACACAATTTCTCGTCGGTTTAGCTTTATTCTAATCTAGCTAGCTTAAAGTCTGTCGGAAAGCCCTATTTTTTTGCATGTGTTGTGCGATATCTGTATCAGAAAGGTTCACTCAGCATGGAACTAGTAAATCCGTTCTTAACTTTCAGCAATTCTTAATTTTTTCCTGATCTGGTTCCATTTGTTAGAATCTCAAACCGACTCCTCATTCGAACCCTTTGTTCACGCCGTTTCCTCGGCAGCTTCGGCTCGTTTTTTTGCAGCAGCACGACAAGTAGCTGTAGTTGTGACCTTCGAAATATATTTATTTGTATGTGTATGTGAAAAATGTATACTTCACAGAGGTTATTGCGTTGGTGCGATTAAATAATATCGTGATATTTTTGCGTGTAAATTTGTACATACAGGCTTTGTGTTTAAGCACATTTTGAAATTCAGACCAACGAAGCGTAATACAGGATACAAATCAGTCTTACACAGACATAAAAAATTTCAATCAAACACGGATATAATACGAACATTTTAGCCTGGTTTGTCTATGTTTGTATCTTCTCTTTGATGTAAATTACAGGACTAAGTAGTATTACTTGTTTTAAGCCTGTTTCAAAACGGAAAACAATTTAAACAAGTAATGTAATTATGCTACCGATTAAGCAAGTTGTTAAAAGATCGCCCAAATACCCAAGAGAACATTTTTGTAAGTACAGTTTAAATTTTTGCAAAAGAAGAGATTTTCTAAACGCAGCTCTGAAAAAATCGCCTGAATCAAATATTAAATAAACGTCAGTTGCTTAGAAATCTTGCAGATTCTGGTACAGCTGCTTATAAGTTGGTTTTTCTAAATTATTCTAATGTGCCAGTATGCTGGCTTTTTGTGACGAGATTTTGCCTGCATCTATAGGAAGTTGTGGTTATATGAAGAAAGAAAAAATTCATCGACTCAAATTGAAGATGTTGTTCAAGGTTTACCATGTATTACCAATGTTTAGTAGCCAAATTTAGTCAAAAGCTGGAATCCAAACCTAAACTGAGACCTTTTACGATTCAAAGATTTTTGTAAAACGCAACAGAAAATCCTTTTACTGTATGAATTTTTGTTAATTGACGGAGAGATTTGCTGTTTTTTGGAATTCTGCTTTGACTATGGAAGAAAATTGATGCTACCAAATTGATTGTGAGCTTTTATGGCCTAGGAATACCCATTCATCTCAAGTTCGTAAATACAGATGCGTAAAATAGAGTGCTCTGTATTATGAAAGAAAATTGCATCTTCCTGCTCTGAATTAGATGACTGTGTTTCTCGTGCGCAAGAGTTTTGTTCTATTGATACTTGGGTTTTGTAAAAGTGTTTTATTAAAGGAAAAAACTTCATCATTTACAATCGGTAGCCTCTGGTGTTGATAAGGACACCCACCTATGAGTTTAGGTCATCATGAGGAGTGTTCTATGTGTTGTTAACGCGCACTGACTGTTGTCAATGTTTCTAGTAAGAATAATAAAGACTTTCAACGAGACAAGACGGTCACCCAACATTATCTTTATCAAGGTTTCTTTTCAATTCCTCGACCATTCTTATCAGGAAAGGTTATGTATGTGCTATCAATTGTCCAGATGCCGCCGTAAACTTTGAAGACAGTTTTCAACACGACGAATGGGTATATTTGAATATGTTTCCATAAATTTTCGAATACATGTACGACACTTGATAGGACGAGTTCTTCTCCGTCATTGTAATGGGGCTACAGCTGTACCTTTTTCTTTATATGGCTTTGAAAGAAGCAAACATTTGAGTAAACTAAAGCTTTTCGTCTGACACCCTTCAGAGTTTAAAACGTCAGAACATAGATCGAAAACTCTACGCTAGGAAATATATATACCCAGTTGTGGATCGAAATAGGCCAATCAGAAAAGCAAGCACATGACTGTTGGTTTATCTGAAAACAGCAGCAAAAGTTTGATTTAGGTGTACTTTGATTCTCTCATGTTAGCCTATTGAAATTTGTCATAAGTCTTGCCAGCAGTCGCTACTGCAAGAAAACTTACGTGCCTCTGATTACTGAATGAACATCACCAACCCGTTCCAGGCCACTGGTAGAAGTGACGTCACCTAAATGTTGTTTTTACGTTCAATTCCTTTGTTCGTAAATAAAGCTTCAGTTTGATGAACTTACTCATTTACGTTAAGTTGGAATACTTCAACCTGTTTATACATACATATTATTTGTTCGTAGAGCCAAGGCCTTCCATCTATGAGCTTGCCCTCGCTTATGCTGCCAAATATGGACAACCGGACACACCTCCACAGCTACCACTTTCTGTCACTGTCGCGCTGCCTATAAGTCTGCTCGTTATACTGACCATTGGTTTCATTTGGTGGAGAGAGAATGTAAAGCGAAAGTTGGATCAGGAAAAGATCAGTCTTATCAATATAAAAAAGCTTCGAGAACTAGACAATTTCAGCAGTTTAGAGCACATGGACAAGTTTTCATCAAGGCTTGGCACAAAGGCAAGTGAACCTTAGCAATTTTATGTTTTGAGATTTACAGCTCATATTATTATAAAGCGCCTAGATTAGCTATGACAAATATAATTTAAAGCACAGGGTTGTACGTTAAGTTTGTAAGCAGCGAATTTTTCTTTAACTGTCCAGGTATCCATATGCTTAGGTTTCGCGGTCTCTGTGATTACACCTAGTGCAAAGATAAAAAATAGTTCTATTATTTTACCTTGTAATACCAATAAATATTTTGATGGGCAACAGGAATGGCAAGGTCGATTAATTTAAATTGGTATTCAAATTAAAACTGCTTGAGAATGTCTTGAAAATAACTACATTAATTCCAACCTTAGCCTTCATCATACATAAGTGGAGACACCCATAGCAGAGTTGCTCTTGATCACCATGACGACCTTGACGATGACGACATCGATGATCGAGAACACGACCTTCTGATCAGCAATGGCCATCCGTTTGTACACGTTCTTCAGCCAAAGTCAGCGTCGCCACGAGTGTCCGAGATGATTCCTCTTCGTGAAATGGACAATGCATTGTCCGAAACGCCTGTTACTGGTCGCAGCAGTGGATTGGATAGCCAATCTGAACTGGAATGGGAGCCTGTGGATCTGAAGCTCAATATATCGTTGTCAAGAACTAGCGAACTTTCGCAAATCCTTGATACGTCAGCTTAATTCTTTGTATAGGTATTATAACTAAAATTCATTTTATATGAAAGAAGAGAGATTCAAGCAGGGGAAAATTGATGATGAATGGTTAGTTGTTAATAGCTAGTTAAATGTTATCATTAGTATATCAGAATGACGAGTGGGGTAAGAATTTCAATTCATAAGTAATTGCCAACACAGGCTGTCGCTTGCATATTTTTCATGTCAAAGATATTGAAAATGAATGGTTGCCACATCTCTAGCCTGGTTTTCCATACAAAACACGAATTTTTTTTACGTTAGGCACAATATATACGCAGAAATATCGTTTTAGTTGCAATAATGTTTCATTAGACGAATTTTTCATGAAAAATATCACTTATTCATAATAGATTATGGTGTTTTCGGATGAGGATAAGGATGTTATATGGTCATAGCTGTAACGAATCAATCCAGAGCTGGTTGATAGGCGAATTTGATGGCGTACTAAAAATTTGCCAGGGCAGTTACAGAGTTTTCGCAGAACCATTTCCTACCATTTATGAATTGTATATTTTTATGAACATGGATTTGTATATGGTATTTTTTAACTTAAACCTGCTTGCCAGGGGGTGCCGCATAAAACTTTGCAAAGAAGTTTGGTAAACTAGCCATTTTTTCCAGATTGCTAGTATTGGAAGCAAATTGAGACCAAATGTTCTTCTGATCGTGTGTGTGTGAAAGCTTCGTGTCGTGCAAATGAAATTTAAATGAAAAAATGCTTGAAAGAGACCAAAATTTCGTATGGCAGAAATAATAAAATTCAGTTTACATAATTACTGCACTCGCAGTATTTTAATTTTGTTTATAGTTGAAATACGGATAATGTTTTGTTAAAATTTATAATAGATGTCGCATAGTATGATAAATGTTTGAATTAAGGCTCCATTGTAGTACCTTATATCACCCGAATAATACAGTATTGATGTAAATAGAACTATAGATTATAGTATTTGATTGCCAATTCATTTAAATATGTCTTTAATGTGTAGCCAGTTGTGAGAGCCGGCTTCAAAGTTGTCTACCTGCTTTTTTCTCTCTTTTCCATCGTGGTAGATAATTCTGCACCTGAACAACTGCACTGTTTTCGAAAGATATCGGAAAAAGGCAAAGGGAAGCTTCACTGTATCAAAAAGAATAAAGTCAGAATTCTTTAGGAGCAATGACTCTAAATAATGGAGCACAAAAGGGAATCCTGCCCGTTACCCAGCAGTATTATATCTATTTTCAAGGACAGGCGGTATGACTTCAAAGAATCATTTCGGCTAATATCTCTTTAATCTTGGTTAGAGATATGTCAAAGAGATAGGCGAACATTTCCGAAAAGAGAACTGCCTAGAGGTAGTTGCGAAACTAGAATGCTCAAATAAGATTTAATTCGGCCAAAACTCAGTATCCAAATTGCTTCAAAAACTTAAAGTGAAGATATTTTGATAATAAATGGGCAAGCTACAATGCCTGCCAAAGGTGTTGGTATACGAACGATAGTTTGCAAAAAAATTCAACACTTTCACTTCCCTTCCTTTGAGCAATGTTGTTTTACTACGAAATAACGTAGGAAATTAAGAAGTAAGTTTCTCCTGTGATTTGTACGATATTTGCATGAGCTATCAACATTGTTTCTGGGGAAAGTGGGGGTAGCGGAAGTAAAGTATTCCGAAAAGAATTGAGAAGCATGAAGACACAGCGCAAATTGTTCACTGTTACAAGAAACTTCGCCCTCACATTCAGGTCTTCGTAAATCTGTCTACACCAGAATAAAGGAACCCGACTTGTGTAAGCAGAAAGAATTAATTTGCTCTTGAAGACTCTTTGACTAGGTGAGGGGACAGCGCTCGCCGTTTAACCAAAAAGGAGCCAATCAAACGCGTTATTCTCCTTCGTTCTGTTTACTTTTAGTTATTATCCGGCGATTGTACACCTGAGGCTCCGCTTTCTTGTGCCATCATCAAAAGAACCGATCGGTGACAAGAACGATACTGCGACGATACGAGCCAATCATTAATGGGCTATGTTTTTCATTGCTTTCTATCAACTTTGTTCAGCTAACCGTTTTTGATTAAAGTTTATATCGTCTTGACTTTCTAGGCATGTCCCTACAACTAACGGCACATTTCTTAACTATGAAATTTTGAAGATAAGCATTCATAGGTGTGTTTTGTTCTAATTTTGAATACATTACTTTGAATAAACATCCCATAAAATTTGTTTCAGAAAGTTTCATTTTGAAGTAAGGGCTCAACATCCCCTCAAAATTAAAAATTTGAATTTTGCAAAGATATTTCATTAAGTGCAGTGCAATAGGTCATGAAAGCAGTCCGTTTAAAAGGGAACATCATGTTTTTAACAAAAGTATAATTACTTTGTTCGTTTTATTTTGCCAAGGTAGAATGGGTGGGTGGTAGAGAATAATCTAGAGGTTACACACAAGGAGTTTAGCCAAGTTTGAATTAAACGGCTTCTAGACCTTTTATGTAGCACAGTGTCCGACTAATTTTGGCTGTTTCCTCAATACGGAAAATACAGTTGATATCCGTTACCTCAACTGTTCACTTTCTAGAACTTTGCTATCTCAAAGTTATTCCAATTCCCCTCGTTTTGAAACATATAAAAATAATTTCTTCGAATGGCTGTTCTTTCGAATATTTGATAACCACCTCTTTAAAGACCTCACTAAGATATGTAAAAACAGAAAAGGAGGGTTGAGAAACTTTTCAAACCAAGCAAAAGTGCTGATATTGTCCTAAATGCTGCAACTAATTAATAACAACATAAACTGTCTATGCAACATCTAACCGTGGCTGTAGATCCCTCTAGCTAGGTTCGCTTCTGCATCTCAATCTTCCCACCCTGACTGCATGTCTGAGAGTTACCAACATATTCAAGAGTCTTGGCATAGGATTTTGTGATATGATGCATGCCAGCTTAGCTAGACGTCACGAATTTTAAAATCAAATGTAAATTTAGGAACAGTGCATATAAAATAGCTAAATTGTTATTAAATCAGCTAAAAATGAAATGCACTAGACGTAAATTGCACTTGGCTCTATACAGAGTAGTATTAACTGTATCCATTACAAGATAGATATATCAATCTGCATTGAAAAAGTGGTTCGTTTCAAATTGGAACTTAGATCTTCAAAACGACAAATCAAGCTGTCAAGTTGCCCTCGTTAGAAATTTCATGCGTAGCTAGTAGATCCAAAGATATTAGACTGGCTTCAGATAACCGAACATTGAACGTTATTTTCTAGCTTCTGAGTGTGCAAAATATTTTGCTTCGTGATATGCTAGAATCACAATATTAGATATAAGACGTAACAAAAATTATCGTTAAAAAATGACCTCCAGCTTTAAATGAGGCTGCAATGCTACAGTGTAACTATAGTTCAAATCAGCTTTCCAAAACTTTTATGTTAACTATTGAACCGCGACGGGACTTTTCAGTCCTTGGGATGGAACGTATTTTTGTAAATGTTCTTTGCCATGCCTCACTTCCACTGCTTTTCTGCACACGGCGTGCTTCGTTCTGATTTCCATCAAGAAGCGCATCTTGAGATTCTGTCTTGACTCCTTTCACTCGATGCACATCATTCAGAAGGGCCTGACTCATATTCACGCGAACATCAATTCCATTGTGAATCTCCCGTTCGTTATTGCCACTTTGGACAACGTCGTAACGTGCAAATCCATTTTCTGTTACTTTCTGGCTGTTTTCTTTAAAATCAGGCTCTGTTTTAGTGGTGATAGATGTCTTTCTAGTAACTGCCTCACTAGTAGAAATGTCGCCTTTACTCTTCATACCAGAAACGTTCCTATTGTTTGTGATAGATGACTTTCTGTAAGAATCGCTTTTTGATTTTTCTGCAGACGAATCATTCGCTATATCAGCTGCCACGGAAGATTCTCTTCGTGATTCGTTTTGGGAGCTCTTCTTTCCATTGTAGTTTACTGATGATTTTCGATCCTTTGTCACCTTGAGAAAAGCCATTGGCATGGTACATACTGTCCTTTACATTCCTGTTGCTGTTTTCGCTAACGACTGAGGCTTTCCTGTCGATAATATCCCCTTTGACAGTGTCCCTACTTATTTCATCATCACCAACCATTCTTTGCTCTTTCCAATTCTCATCAACTGAAGCATTTTTATTTACGGTGATGCCCCTAGCTGCACTGTTCCCCAATATTTCTGTTTCAAATCTTTCAAATTCATCAAGAGAAGGTGCACGCTCCAAGTTCCGAATCTCAGCTGACATTGAACCATCCTCATTTGCAACCTCTTTTTCAGAATAATCTATAGCTTTTTCTCTTTCGTTAGAAGATTGGTTGTAAAGATTGATATCATCGAAACAGTATGCCGGTGCATGTTCCAAACCTTCCTTTTCAAATACTGGAAGTATTTCACCTTCTTCAACTATCTCCTTTGCTATTACGAGAGAGCTCTTTCCGGTATCGCCATTAGTATTTTCTATAGCTGACTTTCCTGTTTCATTTGGCAAGTTTTTCAAATGACTTTGAAGTTGATTTTCTTTATTTGTCGTAACAACCCCTCCATTTCTTTTTTGTCTGCTTTCAAACATCTGACTTCTGGAAAATGTTGGACCCAAATTCAAAACATTTTCAGCCTCGTTGTCAAGTTGGCTAGCAGCATCTTGTTTCAATCCAGTCTTTTTTTCATCTGACAAATTCTTTTCGTTTGCCATATCAATATCAAATTCAGGCATGTTTTCCAAATTTTGCTCACTGATCTCAACAATCTCGTCATCATTCACATAATCATCAACGTTATTGTTGACTTCATTTTTCCCCATTGATAATTGCTCGTTTTCTTTATTTTCGTCTTTAATGGTTTTCTTAATGTCAGAAGACCTTTTGACGGTTTCTTTTGATAAAGCGCTCTTCTTGAGAACATTTGCTTTACTTTTATTCGCTACTCTTCCATCCTCTGCACCATTAACAGAATGACTTGACGATTGGTCCGAGGTACTTACTTTTCGATTACTAGACAACTCTTTTTTATCAGAAGCAGCTCTCCCCAAGCCTGATGACTTAATTTCGCTGGAAGAAACCTTATCCATCTTAGAACTTCCAACTGATGATTTGTTTCCTTTCTTGAATGCAGCAACAGCAGCAAGCTTGCTATTTGATCTGAGTGCTTTCTCATTTTGTTGCCCGGATCTGTTGCTTTTTTCCATTGCTATAGAACTCATTTTCGCTCCCACGGGCTTTTCAGAAGATACTGTTCTTGTATGCCTGGATTGAAGTCTACCAGCTTGTGATAAGCCATCATGACGCAGCTCTTTACCGGGGCTTTCTGTTCCAGACTCGGCAGCCGAATGAATTGGACTCATCACAGGCATTTTCAATGAACTCTTCAGTCGATTTGCCGAAGTCGTCTGCTTCTTCTCATCCTGGGCTTGGCTAGACCCCACAGGTCCATTTTGCTGGGACGAAGCTGAAGTTTCACTTGCCTGTCCTTTCTTTGCCGATGCCTTCCCACTTGAGTCAGCTAGTGCTAGTTGTTCATTTGCAGTGGTCTCTTTGATTGCCACATTCTCGTTTCCAGTATCTCTGCCCTCAGGTTCATTGGATGCATTTATGCCCCCGCCCTGGCTTTTTATTTTCAATGCTCCTTTGCGTCGAACATTGCCAATACCAGCGGCAATCATTGCGGCTTCCTTCATATCAATCTTGCCCTGGGATGCTGTCTTTCGAACAGAAGGCCGCTTTGCAGGAGACTTTCTCGGAGAAGGCCCTAGCCCTTCTAACTGTCCTGTTGCTGAACCAGGACTCGCGAGAGTTTTGTTCTGAATGTTGGAATGTGACGCCGCTTTACGAACAGAAGGCCTGGCGCTTTTAATCTCTGTTTGACGTGGAGTGTTTCCTTTGGACCAAAGTCCAGCCTCGCTGGATCTTGGAGTAGGAGTTGAGGTTAAAACTCTGGGTTGCCGATCAGCCTTAGTGGCGGTGTACAGATTAGTTTCGCTGGCTCTTCGACTGGATAATCTACTTGGAGAAAGGCTGTTGGCATCTTCATAATAACCACTTTGGAGCAGGTCTATTGATCTCGACATTTGTAACTTCTCGTCACCTGCAAGTTGAAAGTAAAATGAGTCAATGATTGAATTAGCGGACGAACAAATTGAAAACATTATGTACACTGATACTTCAATTTGTCTAAATAAATAGTGAGTCGAAACAACTGCAATGTGTTGGTAGAAATCGTAAAATTACAGCAGTAATAGGACTGGTATGATTCTAGATTTGATATTTTTTGTAATATCTGCAGTAATAGGTTTGATATTTTTTGCCATTAGCTGAAGCTACCGTCTTCTCAAGAACGCAAAAATCGTTTCTCGTTAAATCTACTGATTCGACAAATACAAAAAGTTTAAGCAAACGAATTTCATATTATAGGCTAAAAACCGAAGTTCATTTCAACGATGCATTGGGTAAACAGAGCCGTCTTTCTCTACAAACTTAAGAGGGAAATACCATCGTGAATGATATTCATCACAAAATATTATTGTAAGGTCAGTGTACCAATGAATGAGTCTTCGCTGTCGTATTGCGGTGTTTGCCTAGGGGTGGATTCCACACTGTGTTGTCGGCGGTTCTTCCTAGCCAATGCATTGATGTATTGGACTGACGGGCGTTTGCCTTCATGCGGCATTCGCATGAAAATGTCAGCAATGTCTTCCAGTCTTCGTCGATCAACTTCGTTCAGGCGTCCCTTTCTTGCAGCAATCGGATCTTTAAAACAAGAAGTAAAGATCAGTTATTAAAAGTGGAATAATCGTCGACTTAAGTCATCATTGTTTCGAATACCGTCCTCTTCGTAACCACAGTAAGAACTATAGTCAAGGAAAAAAAAACTCATTGCTAAAGGAAATACTTCTTATGGTAGTGGATACCGCGAAGTTAAATCATTTGATAGGAGTACCATAAATGAAGAGGGAATAATTCCAGAGTTTGATGAGACGGTTCACAAATGTATGATTAGTCAAAGTTTAACAGACACAAACACCTTACCTACTGTTACAGACACGTCTAGTTTCAGATCCTCTTCAGTGAGCCGTCTTTCAACCAAATAATCTTTAGTTATTCCAATCACGATTGGCAAATCAACGTGGATTTCGTCACGAAACAACTGATACATTCCCACACGCAGGAAGAAATCGACGTTAACACGGTTGCTCTTCGTAATGGTCGGACCAACCTGTGGAATCTTGAACTTGAGATTCTCCCAATTAACACTGTTCCTTGGCAATATTCGATCACCGAAATATTCAGCAACGATATCTAGATATGTTTTTGTCTCTCTTTTACTTCGGTATCGAGTCCGCTTGAAGAGTTTTGCATACACGCTTGTCATAATACGGTTGGAATCATTTTCAGCCTCACAAGATATCAGTATATTGTCCCCTTGGTTATAACATATATTATCAACATAAGCTTCAAGGGATAGAATTCCATCTGAAATACATGTGCCTAATTCCTTTTGCGTTTGGCATCCTGGCCTATAAGAATACTCCGGTAACGTCGTGTCGATAACTTCGCTTACAGTGATTGGTACTTGCTTCGTCACGTTTGTCTTCCATGGCCGCGTTATCGTAGCTTCAACAAAATAATGTATGAAAGCAAGGCCCCGCTGACGTTCCTTCGGGCTTTCAAACGAACATGGAAGGTATTTAGGCACCATGAACTGAAAGTCGTATCTGTAAATGCCGTGTGGATGCGTAGGTATAGTTTCGACAGACTCCCCGTCCTTATAGCCAAACAAGACCTTTTGCAGATTTACAACGCTTTCCTTTTTTTGTCTTTGCTGTTTGTTATAGATGCCCTGGACATTGTTAGGCTGACTAAATGCTTCACCATAAAAACGTACTTGGATATTTTGGATTTCTACCTCGTCTTCAAAATCAGTTGTGATACTGCCTCTCATGATCTCTCCTCCGCAGAAGCTTTTTCTGCCATTATCAAAAGCCAATTCGAAGTTCTTTAGGTTTTTCATAATTGTTGCCAACCGCCTTCTGGCCCAGAAATCGTCGCTCTATTTAAAAAAAAATCAAGCGAGTCAGCGAACTTATTCGGCTGCATTATAGTAGAAATAGGATAAAAATAGTAGAGTGATAGACAACATTTTTAATCGCTTTACCCATTCGTAGCTCAATTCAATTATTTCAATAACGAAGCATTCAACGAAGGAAATAGAAACCAATCGGTCACAGCTTTAAAGAAGCTTGGTCAGATTAGCTGTTTAAACTGTTAGAAGGCTTAAGAAACAGCGGTGGTATTTGGCCAAGGTTAAAACACCGCTTTTTTAGGAACTTTTTTTATGATGTCATAAAATCTATAAATGCTGAACACTTCTTATAGATCGGCTCTCCTAGAACTTTCTATGGAGGTTAAATAAGGGTCAGCAACATTTGAATGGAAAAAATGAAAGAGTGGACCAGGATTTGTTCCAACCCTGGGGGTCTACTAAATAATCTGATCCCCCGGGGGATGTGCCTGCTAACTGGGTCTCATTTTCAGCAGAAAATGCTGGGACAGGATTCATTTGTCCTTTGACTTGATTCCAGCACAGGTTAGCACAGGTAGGAAGATCTTTTTTTAAGTAAAGGTCAAACTTGTCATGAAAGTGTTGTCCTCTTCATTGAGTTACTAAGATTAACTTTCCATATGAATTCACACAATGTATCAATAAAATCACTTTACACGAACCATCGGTTACTGAATTCAAGGACAGGTATCATATTTTCAGAATTCTATCCTAGGAAAGGCCATAAAATGTTTGCTGACAGGTACATCCAGGTAATGTTTCTCCAAGGTAGACCCTTCCCACGCTCTGCGGTTCCGACCAACACAATATATGCTAAAAATCTCCCATACGGCCGCAAAAATTAGTGAAAAGAAACAAAAATACGAGCAAACTTTATTAGGTTATTCTGATCTGCTGTTATTTGAGCAACTTTTCTCCCTAAGACAGGCACAAAACTGTTTGAAATCCTGAAAAACCCGTTTGGAAACCTTTGCTTCCACAATCGGGATTTATTTGTCGGAAATTAGAACCAGGTCGCTTGTAACTGTAGCAAGGTTCACACATGACTGATATGACTATGCTGTTTTTTAATTCTAAAGAATCAAATTGTAATTGACATTCAATAAACCTTAAGTTGTAAACAGATGGGAGTTGCGTATAATGAAAACCGAGCCGGACAACCGTTGTCTGCCGTCTCTCGGTGTCCTACACAATACACATACATATCACTTTTCATATCAAACTAAATTCTTGTAATTGTAATTATTAATTATTGTAATAGACTTTGAATATCATTGTAATTGATGTTGTGGAAACATGAATTAGAATTGGAATATTTGGTTTTGCCTTAAAAACACTTTTTCTTCTAAATAAATTAATGTCCTGCAATAACATTCACTGCATCTGATGTTTTGTAGCGCATTTTGCTAATGAGCGCATTTTCCATATTTAATTGTAGTTTCCAAAAAACAAGTCTGTATGCATGCTTGCTTGGGCAGAATTGTAGAAATCATTAATGCCAACTGGATGGTTGTAGCGGGACCGTGAACAAATTATACCTACGCAAGTGATTCTTATCTGTGAAAGAGAACGCCATGTCAAACTGCCCGTAAAATACATCCAAAAAAGTGCCGACCTAAGCATAAGCCTCACAGCTAATGGCATTTGGTCACAGATGTTGAAACCAAAATAACAATAAAATATAATGTAGAATCGCATTGAGAAGACTTACCCGAGAGGGATGGCCTTAGTGCTTCATAAAGGCAAGCTTAATATCGAAATCTGGCGTTACTGCGCAATATAGCAACTGCTTCACGATTTCACAAGGACGAATATGTAGCAAGACTTTCTGCTTTGCATTATTGATTACTGGTTCACAATTGAAGGAAAAATCTTCTAGCATCCATTGATAGTGTCATGGTGCTCACATTCACCCACCAATTGAATCAAGTAATTTCGCAGGAGGATGTTATTATTAGATAAAACTGGTTATATCTTACATGAAGGGGAGGATCTAGCCTTGCCAGTATTGACCACAATAAACTTTATTTTCATTGGTGATTGTCTGAAACAAAGGAGAGCTGGCATAGCGCGAGTTTGATGAATCAAAGACAATAGGCTACAGGTATGCATGATGCTGTAGTTGGATTGTGTGGGAAATCTGAAGATCATGCTCGTAAGATGGCTGAATACGCGGAAGTTGAACGAAGAATATATGAAATCTTCTGGAAAAAACTGAGTTGTGTGTAATTCTATAAAGAAGGGAAAGTGTTGTAAAAATTTGCAAAAGAATCTAGGCCTTTAAGAGGATTCTTTTGAAACAGATAAGAGAAAGCCAGCTTTCTACTGTAAACAGGGAGGCTCATGTCAAATATATTAGTCTGAAAAGCTAATCAAAATGTCTTTTGGAAAAAGGAAGTGGCATCTTATCTAATACCAATGCCACATTATCAAAATCTGGTTTGATAAACATTGCTAAGGAGGAGGACATAAGTCAATGTTCTAGGCATACTAACAAATAGAAAACAGAGTGGAAGCAATTTCTAGCAATTAATATTGGAAACAAAAACTGGCAATAGCTTGAACAAAACTTGAAGAAGATTTCTAGACTATGCTGAACCATTAGAACATATCTAAAAATATGCTTCTGTGACATTTCTTTGTACGTCAATAGACTATAAAAGTCTTTGAGAGAACTGAGGATGTTTTAGGGTCTGTTCTGCAGAATAAATAATGCCAAAAATAGTCTTCTAGTCGCTATGCAAGAAATATGACAATGAGTTATAGACGCTGATAAAGATATTAAAAAGTAGCTCCTCGCTATATCTGTGGCCTCTCGGTCTGAAGGTTGCAAAATAAAAATTGACAAACACACTAATTTAACTTTCAACTTTGAACAACGGTTATGTACAACATAAAAAGCGAACTTATACAGAGAAAACTTTCAAAATGCTGGGAGAAGATCATTTCTCCGTGGTATCGTCCTCTACAAAGTCTTTGGCTTGCTCTTTGGTAATCGACAGAATATGACTGACTTTATTTTTGAATTGTACCCCATAAAATTTGTCTGCTGATTCCAGAAGCTCCGGCCTAAAGGTGGTTGTGATGAATTGTGCTTTAGCGGCCAATTTGTGAATCATAACTAAAGGAAAAAAAACATTTGTTCATTCTCTGTTAAAATATCCATAGCGATAGATGGGGGAAGCGGGGGTTGAAGGGTGGGGGAGGCGTTGGCTTGGTTGATGGGGCAAACTCAATAAAATTATTTTGAAATGCAAAAGTGGTAATTTAAGGTATTATGTGTGGCCCCGAAGCAAGCAAACCAACATTACACAGACACCAAAGTTGGAAACATTTATGGCAAACTGTATTGTATTTGCAACGGATTAACACAATGCGATTGTTAATCTATGTCTTATTGTCGTCAGACATGCTTGTTCAAGAGCATTGGTTTACAAGGTGGATGGTTTATGTGTTGCAAAATTAGCCTAGGCAAGCAAACAAACGTGCCCGGGGTCGATCAATCAAAGAATCATTAAACGAAGAACTTTCCACATACCTGCAACGGCGCTACGATACTGAGGGTCTAAAGCTTGATCGATCTCATCGAATAAGTAAAATGGTGCCGGGTCACACTTCTGAATTGCGAAAATAAGGGTTAAGGCGACTAGGGTCTTCTGTCCACCAGAGAGCTGATTCATCTCCAACGTTTCTGCACTTTTACCCGTGAACGATATCTAGCCAAAAGCAAATAAAGGTAGATAAAAGGATGAAGTAATATCAAATGCTAAAAGAGCTGCAAAAAGTATGAAATAAACTCAACATTTAATATGAAAGTTAGGAAAATATGACTGCAAATCAAAATTTCTTGATCATTTACGAGTTTTTGCTGGGTAAACCTTTTTTGATCAATTAAAGACCGTACCTTGATAGAAATGCCAGTGAATTCGTCGATCGGCTTCATTGATCGTTGGCTCGATGACGACCGCTGCGATGAAGCAACACTCTCTTCATCTTCCTAGAAGGTTTAAATGAAATTCGATCATAGTACACTTGCCATTCCCTAAGAGAAAATGTCACATTATGCAGCAGGCACAGAGAAATATCAAGATCAAGGCCTACAAAGTCAATGATACTGTTGTGAATTTACCTTTAAAACAAAATGGACCGTAAGAAGATAATATTCTGTAAATAAAAATAAACTTTTCAAATCTAGTTGCATTGCAAATACGGAAATACTGTTAGGTTATCTGGTTCAAATATTTTAGCATGATTGCAATAATTAAATAGCTAAAAAATGACCCTTAATAATGGACTAAAAGATCATCATCTTGAAAATCCACTTTTAAAAGTGAGGATAACGATGGAACTGAATAAAACAGGCAATAAAAGTTGTTAACAGAAATGCATTTTCTATCATAGAGGCAAAAGAGTGGAATGAAACCTATTTTTTGGAAAACAGGACACTTAAAGACCAGCAGAAGTGAGTAGCCCAAACGATGCTTTGGAGTGTTCAAAATGAAATTCACTTCTATGATGATTTTTACAGACACAGGGCGAGACGTCTGCTTGTATAAATTGATAAACTGTTTTTATGTCTGCTTTGACATGATCTGCTTTGACATCACAGGAAAGTCATCTGACAAAACAGACAGCAAAGAAAAATAAGAGCAATGATTGGTGAATCATGCTCAACCAATGACAGCTTAAAAATATATCGGTGACAGCATGAATAGCAGCCCACCTGTGAGTCAGCGGCATCTGTTTTCATGATCAAGGTTGCTTTACCACTGGGAACCAGCTGTTTGAATATTTCAGAAAAATGATGCGACACCTGGAATTGACAGAGCAGGTCCTTGGATAAACTTTGAAAAAAATTTATCAACATAAGGGCAATCATTTTGCAGGGAAATGTCATCAATTTCCACGCAGTTTGGACAAGCAATCAACAAATGACAGCCGTAGAAGAAAACTTGTAGCCATCATATTTAATTAAAAACCACCATTCATTAATAAATCGTCAGAAAGCATATGATGTGCAGAGCCGGACGGAAAAACATGTGTCATGAAACAAGTGACCCAATGATTTTCGTTAGTTCGACAAGAAAAATATTCAGTCTGCAACAATCTACTTACTAATTTCTATTGGATAACAATAGTGACAAGACTTGAAAATTCACAACAAAGAAAACTTGATATTCAAGAAAATCGCTAATTAAAAATTGTAAAGTGCCGGAAACATCTAACGATAAAAACATGGCTATATCAGCTATGAATTATCAGATTGCTCAGCATTGTCAGACTTCGCAATAACAATTTGACAATGGATGTTTCAAACAAAGTGCATTGAAAAACCGTCTGTTTTCTCACTTAACTATACAGGGGGTTAGTGTGCACCGATTAGTCGAAATAAGAAACCAATAAATAGCGTTAATCCACTTCTCGTATCTTTCGACGATTTCAATCTACCTTTCCCAGATTTGAATTTCCAGACGCAGATCGAAATTTGAAGTTCTATTTTTTTGGCAAAAATCAAACATTTCATACACTCAAGAGTGTCGGGTAAAAGTGGCAATATAGCATACTGGAAAACTTTCAGGGAAATTCATACAATATTTTATTAAACCTTCGACAACAAAGCGTTTATCAAGAAATATATGTTGAAAATGCTTATAAATGAGTTACAATTTCACGACTTTGCAAATTGACTATCAGTGGGTAAATTCACTGTACGGTTCACGATGACTTGTAAAATTCATGGCATGAAATTTAACTTGTAAAAACTAAATATGATGGGAATTTTATGTCACCTGCTTGAAGGTGAACAAGATTGCTTCGTGTTTTCGTTGCTCCAAGACTTCCATTAGATCTTCGATGGCCTAGAAAGATTTTCAAAATTCATTAATAATATATTTCTTTGTAATAAATAGTTCACATGGATAGTTTCTGTACATTCATTCTTTTTATAAGAAACTGGCTATAAGAAACGAGTACTGGACAATCAGAAAAAATTAAGAAACTTCAGTACTCAAAGCAAAAAATTAAGAAACTATTAAATCGTGATAAAATTGAGAACAACGAAATTTTGTAATATCCAAGAACATGATTGTCCTGTTGACCTAGAACTTGAGACACAAGGAATAAAAATATACTTCCCACATCTAAATACAGCATCAGAATGGAAGCGAATCTCTTGACGCGACAAAAAGGTCACGAAAATTTCATAACATCATTCATGACATCATAATTAAGAAACTCTTAAGAAACAATGAGTATTGAAATTTCCAGAACATCAAGGAACTGAAGTGCTCAACATCGACCTTTGTTTCTTATAAAAAAATGAGTATTTATGATCTGTAAAAGACGCTAGGTCAGTAACTCTTTTTTAAGAATTCTGAAACAATCTCATTGAAGTGAAACTAAAAAAATAATTAAAAGAACGAAAATTCTTCAAATACCCTGCTTGTATATGGAAATGAAATTCCCTTTCCTACAAGGCTATCTATAATTAATCCGAGTCTGCCTTTCGCTAACACCGTAAAGGTTAAAGATGTGGTTGAAAAACTGTTATCAATGGAAAACTGCTGGGATATTTAGGAACTGTAAGATGTTAAAATAAATAGGAACTGAACGAAAGATTAAAACTCGCACCTCGTGTGCTTTGTCAAGCTCTTCCTTCCTTTTGATAAACTTTTCCTTTTCCTCAGAAAAACTGACAAATTGATCCATGGCTTTTTTGTTAACATGACTGTATTTTTTCAAATCTGCGTTGCATTTGTCAAGTTTTTTCCAAAGCTTGGATGTAAAACAAAATACCAGTCAGGTATGCTATGTATAAAGACATCAATGCAAGTGGTGGCAGGAATACAGTGCAACAGAGATTGAAGTTAATTCAGAGGAACCAAGAAAATGGCTCTGTATACATGCATGTCCTTATACCAAGAAGTATTTGCAGCTAACTGAAGTAAGGTCTATTTCTTTTTCAAGTAGGGAAATCTTAAGGGCCGTGTTTAATTTTTCCAGTTCATCATAATAAGGGTTCCTTTGAATCGAAATGGTTGCAAAAACTAGCACTGAATTTTCTGACACTTTATTTGGTTGCAAAAATGAGCACGAAAAGATTTTTCTAGAAAACACAATTGTTAAGATGGATCGGTTTCCGTAATAATTAAATATTTCAATCTCTTTCAGCTACCTATAACCAAAGATAACGGACTGTATATTAACTTTTTTGAAGCTGAAGTCTTCACGAGTGCTGTTCAAATTCTTATGACATCAATAGAAGACAAATATTTAGCAAAATCTATAACTAATTTCGTTCAAATGCTTCAAATTCTAGAACAACAAACTAAAGGCTTAATCCTTTATTGCCAGCCGTCCAAGACGAGTTCTATTGGCAAAAAATTATTGAAAAATTAAGATCGCCAAATTTGATGAAAATTGGTGATAACTGTTTACGTGCAGAACAGTTTTATCTCTTTTGCATTAAATATCTTTTTCTCAATGTTGGGGCATCAAATGATTTCGCAAATAGTGTTTTGGCACAAACTGGAATTGGTGTTATTAACAGAAAACTTACTGCAAACTCAGGTTAATCTATTTGAACTTTGAAATTACAAACTCCGAAATCTGTTACAATAGCATCTATAAACATTGCGCACCTGCTTAACGTTGACTTTGCGGTACTTCTCAAAAGCTTCAGCTGGCAGGCTTCCAAGATCTCGAATTTTCTTCATGCACTCTTCTTTCTGCAAACAAAAAGATAAAACAACTGTGATATTTTCTTGTAAAAGAAAGAATAGACAATCTTTATTACGTTTACAAACACTGAGCACTATACCGATACTGTGGCACGACTGTTTAAAAAAACCGGTAAGACTTTTTTAAGAAACCTGACTTGTTAACTCAACTGTTGCTAACAACAACATTCGTCGATAAGTTTTTGCTAAGCCAATGAATGGTTGAAGTAAGATTGTTGACTTACCAAAAATTGTAAAATTTATATTATTAATCTAGAAGCAAAATTACCTTTTTTATTAGCAAACTACGTTTGTTAGCCGCCTTTTCCATCAACTTCGAGTCTTCTTGGATTGCGTCGCTTTTCTCTTTTTCTTCAATCTTAAAGAAAATTCAGGAATGTAGCAGGAATTGTACAAATAAATGAAACTTTAATCTTTTTGGGAATCGTTGAAATGACAGTCAAAACATGGTAAGATGAAGCGAAGGTAGAGTATGGCACAATGGAAGAGGAAGTCAATAGTCAGGCTGACTAGGTATCAAAGTCTTAAATAGGCTGCAAGGCTGTGTACCGTGGAAAAACATGTCAAGTTAAATAGATGTACAGGCTGCTCCAAAAAGTTATCCAAACTATGCATAGAAAAGCTGTTATGTATGACCTTACATATAAATATCCTGAGAGAAACATGATTGTTTAACAAAACAGTTGCAAAAGATGCAACGAAACATCGTAATTACAATTGAGTTTTGTCAAAATACTCGAATCATGCTAGATAAAATTCAAATTTTTAGCGAAAAGTAGGCAACTAAAAAACACTTTTCTGCCTCGTCACAAAGCAAACAAAAAGCGAAAGACGATACATTCTAGTGGCTCACCCAATAAAAAATAACTCTGAATTTAAGTAAATAGTACTAGGAATAAAAATAGATTATTAATTCCTAGTAAAATTTACTTCAATTCAAAGTTATTTTCTATTGTATTGTACAGCACGTAATCTTGTATATTTATGTTCATCCAACAAGCTTATCAAGACTCAAGAAACTTTTGCGACGGTTAGAAATCATTTTACAAATCACGTTGTTGACCATTATATTCAACAGAGACATCTAAATATAATAAACTGAATGCTTTTACGCTTTAGCGTTATAAAAACAGTTATAAAACGATCGTTGGTTCTACCTTACGTAATAATATCTTGTCTAATGCTATGAAAAGAAGACGAGTTTAACCCTGCATATCATGTAGCTATCACTCACAATAACAGTATCTAGGTTAAGAGATATCTACATTTGGCATTTCCTTGTTCTTGTTCTTGACATTTTGCTATGCTTTTACTACCCATTCGCTCAGCAAATTATATAGATTATACATGTATACTTATAAATTAAAAATCTACATATGTTGCACTACCACTGCATGTGGAAAAGAATCAAATGCCTTTAATCTTCATTCATCGCTTGCATTGAGGCATAATTCAATCTGGCTTCTAATATCTGGAAGTTACAGTGAACAGCGGTTTGTCCATAGCCTCGTACAATACGAGCTCGAATTATATAAATGTTTGATTTAAGCCAGCCGCTCAAAGTTCTTAGTAACAGAATATGACAATAAAGTTCCCTATTTTTACCTCTAAGCTTTTGCATAGAATTTCAACAAAAGGTTAATATCAATTGAAGCCAGCGTCACACTCTTTCAAATTAACTATATTTCTTGGAAGACATTCAGCCGAAATACCAAAATTATATGTTTTAAAATAAGATAAAGGTGCAGTTTAAGCAAGTAGTCTGCGAAAATAGAAAAGTAATTTGATTCTTCAGATATCGAATGATCTCAAAAAAATACAGCAAGAGTGTATGTTTAAAATACAAGTGAAAGGACTTTCACGACGTTGTAGAGGATAGCAACTAAAAACTTTAAGAAAGTTAAGCTAAGTTTACCTTCCAGTGCTCTAGAGACTTTTGCTGCTGTTGAAGTTCTTTCTTGATTATATCGAGATTAGAATCCAAATCTAAAGAAAATAAAGACATTTTACTAGTGTGATATGAAAAATCTTCCGCTTAAAAAAATTCTGAAAGTAATGAATGGACTTTAATTTCAAATTTTGAAAGAAGTTTAGCTTCCTTATTGGCTTCAAACTTTGAAAGAAGTTTAGCTTCCTGATTAGCTTCCAACTTTGAAAGAAGTTTACCTTCCTAATTAGCTTCAAACTTTGAAAGAGGTTTACCTTCCTAATTAGCTTCAAACTTTGAAAGAAGTTCAGTTTCTTATATATGCATCACGCTAATGTCTAAACAGTTGCCAGTAAGGTTGAGAGTTTGACATTATAACAGACTTCCGAATCGTTACAAGAACTTAAGGTAGATCCAGCGTTCAAGATAGATTAAAGATTAGATATGCCTAATCAGTGGCTTCAGGCGTAAAAAGCAGTACACCTGGGACAATTCCATGTGGCTTTACAGGATTTAAACAGCAGATGTTTGTAAAGACGATTATTCGTTAAGTTATCGCAGAAACAGCTCTCAAGACCTATATTTTTTCTCTTTAGGGTTTCCTTTACATTCTTACAATGCTGCGAAATGACAATCCCTAGATTCCCCTTTCTAATTTTAGGCCTTGAACCACTCAATTTGCTTTTCTTCAAAGAGAAGTGTTTAGAAACACCACCAAATCGTTCTAGAAGCCTGTTGAAAAGCAAAAGATGTGGCAATCAGCTATAAAACATTACCTTGGGCTCTTGTTGATGTTCTTTCTAGGGTTTTATTGCATCTGTCGAGCTCTTCGTTTTTGGAATCCAAATGCCATTGTCGCTCCGCTGAATTCACCTCTTCCATGCTCTTTTAAAAGCATTTCAAAATATGTTAGATAAAAAACAAAACTGAGTCTATACTGGAATTTAGAATAAGGTTTGGCAAGAACAAGAAATCTGTCATTATCAAAATAAAACTTCCATTTACTTTTATTGGTATCTCATTGGTTTATTTGCAAAAAAAATTTATCTTCGTCGATAACAATAAACCATACGAAAAGATGCAAAAAAGGGTTTTCAAAGATCAGCAGCAATATTGATATGGATGGAGTTAAAGATCTTACCGCTTTCAGCTCTTCCTGTTTCTTGTACAAATTTGTATGAAGCATGTTTTCCAGCGCTTCTTTCTGTGCTTCAAGCTGGTAAGAAACCATTCAAGTATTTAAACCTTATGAACACTGCAAGACGAATTATAGTAAAGTAACAATTGTGGTTGGAGAAGACTAGACAGCAAGTTTCTTTGCAATATAAAATTTAACAATACCTCTGTTCGTCGTGAGAAGGCTGTTTTAATCTGGTCTTGCAAATGAAGAATTTCATCATTGAGACGCTCAACCTGAAACATTAACGTGACAGCAAATTTTGATGTGAGTTAAAAACAAAACTGTTGCTTCCAAAGAGGTAACTGAGCAGCTGCTTCAAGATTACAAAAATGTTTTATAAGCAAAAGAGAAAGGAAGATGATAACAATTGATTATTCTTTGCATAAAATTTGCGAACTGTAAAGGATGGAAAAGAAGTTTGTTACCTCTTGCTGGTCTTCAAGGTCAAGCTGAGAGAGCAATTCAGATCCGAGTTCTTCATTTAAAGACTGCGCTTGCTTTTCGTATCTTGATAAATCAGCTTGTAATGAGTGCAAAACGTTCTCCTATAAAAAAACCATTCAATTATAATAAGGAAGTATTTTTGTTACATCTTCATAAGAGTTCTTGCTCTGCTTCTATAGCAAATAAGTAAATATACAAAATTGATTTTAATAAAATTTTGCTATCATAAGGTCGAATTGAAATTGCCTGGTTTTCTGAAACATGAAAGAAAAAAACTTAGCATTGTTACTTTGTTTTGAAGTGAGCGTTCAAGTCCTTCCTTCTCACTGGTCAAATGTCTGACATCTTCCTTTTGCCTTTCGTAGGTTTTCCTGCCGAAAAAAGATATTAGTTCAAATTGTCTAATGCAAATGATATTTATATTTTAAATGAATGGGTATCAAAAACGAAAACTGACATTTAGGACATCGGGTATGATAATGAAATGATAACAGCAAGGAATACCTAAGTTGGTCCTGCTTTGTTTCCACCTTTTGCAACTCATTTACGATTGACGTCACCTCAGCTTCTTCAGGTAAACGGGCGTCAAGGAAAAGACTTGTGCTGGACTTAAACACTAAATCACGGAACAGAGACAAAACAAGGTTCTGTGGGGCTAAAACGTTACAAGCAGCAAGGCTTTGAGTTTATTTTAAGTTCAATTCGGTAATAACTTACTGGATTACGCGTGTTTTTGAGAATCAAAAAAAGCTTCGGCTCAAAAATATCTAACCAATTGGCATGTCAAAACTCATCCACCAATTAAAGTAGGCATGATAGAACCTCGAAATCTGCCTTTGGAAAGGTGAACCGAGCTATTTCAAAACACGTTTTAAAGAAATAAAACCTTTTGGCTTTACATTAACACTGAAAATGAAACAGCTCTCTTTTATACAAGCTGATTAAATAAAACGTAATAAATTACGATAAACTGGAAAAATAAATAAATTCTTGTTTCACACGTGTACGAAAGGATATCAGTTATTTTCTCTTTAAGAAGTTTGAGCTGCTGATCTTGTTCTTCGAGCTTCTTCTTTGCCTCTCCCAGCTTTCTTTGCAAATCCAGTCGAGATTTTTGGGAATCATAGAAACCGCCCGTCAGAGCACCTCGCCGGCTGTGCTGATCACCTTGCAAAAAACAAACGCAAATTCATCACCTAGGGTAGCTAACGACATAGAGAAATTGAATGGACGACAAGTCAAAAAACCTACTTGTAATGACTTCAGCTATAGGGATATTCTCAAGGTCAGAATAAAATTCTCCCGTCTGTTAGCTTTTGAAAAGATACAGCCATTAAATATTGAAATATAAATTTCATTATATTTCAGACCCCTTCGGTTTATTATTTTCAAGCCAAGTTTGTTAATAATTGGTAAGGCGTAGACAACAAAGCTTATTGTAGCATAAGGAAGCGCATCGATAACAAAAAGAATGAAAAATTAATTTTAAACAGAATGTCTTTATTATGCTGTTATGTTATGATTACAATATTTCTTTTTTAAGAAACAAGTATATTGATTCTGATTCCAATTCAAAGAAATGCTAGTATATTTGGGATATTTTCCATCAATTCCGCTTATACCTGACCCCGTTTATTGTAATTCGGTAAATTTGCACCCACCCCGTTTATTCCTGCCCCCCGCCTATTCCGGACTTAACTGTATCTGCTGGTATTTAGTGCTAGATGTGCTTTTCCCACCTAAAACGCTAGTCAAAAGAACTTGAAACACCCAAACAGTTTCAATCGATTCTAGCTGTCATTTCAATTCACGACTATAAAATTAGCTAATTTGCCCTCCCCCTATAAAAAATGTTGCACGATCTTAGCTTAAAAAGTACAGATTACGTTCATAGGAGAACCTGTAATAGATTTCCAATAAAAACTTTTTTCTCAGCACAAACTTGTAAGATTTCATTAAGACGAACTCGGAGATATTCACTTTCAGCTCGGGTGCCCAAAACTGTTAATTTTACTAACTGATATTGACAAATTTCTCTAAAGTTTTGGTCGCACGTTTTTTGAACTACAACGGGCCTAATTTCGAAGACAATTTCGTAGCATCTTACAAAAGAATTTAATCGATAAAACATGTAACTAGTCTTTAATTTCATGTTTGCCACTCGATTGTGATGTTATTTAGAGAACAAATAATGCTGTTTATCGCCCAAAACAACATCTCATCTCCTCGTTGAATACCAAACTTTCTGCGATTAACAGTCGCAAACAGAGACAAGCAAGTGTCTCAATGGCATTGAAAGAGTCCTTATTAAAAACGGCCATAAAAGTGTCACCTGCAAAATTCAAGGCAAGTAATGATAATCTGTGATCTCAGACACCTAAATGTGATCTTGCGAATGTTTTTTCAAAATCATGTGACATATAAAACAGCCTGCCTCAAAAGCTTTTGATAAAATTTAGCAGGTCGTTCAAGGGTTCCAAAGCTTCGAGACTGTCTAATAAAAAATTTGAATTTTTGATATTCTAAGAAAATTTGTTTTCTCAAAATTTCAACATGACATGTTGCCAATATTTTAAAGTTATATTTGCGTGGCTTTGAATTTTTAAATGATGTCTAATTGCTTCACAAAAGTGGTTTGAATTTCGCAGGTGATATTGTCGCCTGCGTCGCCATAACTCCGTCGCCATTACTCGTTCGTTGAATTGGTGCAATACTTTTCGAACATAAGTGTAAAATAGGAATATAAAATGGGAATAAACATTGGATAAATAAATTATATTACAGGTATCTCAATGCACATCATAACCAAACCGATGAGATAAACATCACAACAAAAACAGATTTTATGAGTGGATTTTAGACTTCGAAACAGGAGAAAAAGTGAAGTGGCCAAACATGCGTTGAAATGCTGACCTTCCATTGTTACGCAATCCAAGTCTGCACTTTTGGAGAACTGCGAGGCAGTTTCCATGTTCCTGCAAATGAGGGTTTTTCCAAACGCCAATTGCATTGCAGGCTTGAACATCGGATGGAATTTCACTTTGCTTATCATTGGAATAACATCCTAGATAGAATTTGATGCGTAATTAAAGTCAAGCAGATGAATTAACAAATGATCCAGCATAAAAGAGATGGAAAATAAAAAACAAAGTCACAAAAATATATCACACGCCTTGAGCTGCATTTTAGCGGTTTATGTCTTGAAGAAACTTTGATTTTAATTTTTGCGATATGTTTTGCATATTCTAGCATAGGTAACATTGATAAAAAGGTGCTACCATTGGTAAAAAAGATTAAATGAAAAGAAAAATTACATATCTTGCTTGGGAAATAATCCTGAAATTTTCAAAACAGCAGGAAGATGAAGAACATAACATACCAAAATATTATCATTTGCTGTTTGTTATCCTTGTCTTATTATTATATCTGTTGAGTGTCAGACGAAGAGTAATTTGGTTTAGTTTTTCCCTGCTATTATGAAATTTCGTCTTACCAGATAATTATTTGGATATCTAAATCCCAGGAATATTAATAAAGTGACATCTCTTTGTTTTTTATTCATGGCAACAGTTTTGTTACTTCGAACCACAATTAGTAATTTATTTCAGAAAAGGCAAGAAAAAATGTCTTACTGCCGATTGAGGATAATCAATATCTTTGAACTTCAACCGATTCAGCGGCATGAAGGTGACTTCACCAGGCAGTTTCTGTTTGTTCATGATTGACAAAACTTGTGCACCAATCTTGTCATTGTCGACAATAATGTTAAAAAGCCTGAAAAGCAATGAATGGTGGTCAAAACAGTAGAAAGGGTCAATGGTGTACTTAAAATGATCGACAGAATAATGAGATAATCGAAGCTAAAAAAAAGATTTCATTCTGTGCAGTGATCCACTGAGCATACACAAGGTGTATACATTACACATGCAGTGGGGCCCTCTGAACAAGGCTAAACTTGATTTAAACTTGATTTAAAGACAGTGAAATTAACACATATCAGTCAATGATTAACACATATCCAACAGTCAAATTAACACATACCGTGCATAAATAATTTTAAAATGAAAAAATGAATGAAAAAAATGAATGAATCGAATGCAACTGGCTAAAGCCGGGTGAAGGTCACCTGTCCTGAGTAGGCAAATATTGAAAATATAAAACAAATCTATGAATTAAATCTGGATAATTACTGACCCAGTAAGCATCAGCTATCGCCAAAGCGACTTAAATAATGATTGTACTTGCAGCATTTCAACAAGCAGTAAATGAGAAGATACATACTTATTTCCAGCTGTCACCTCGATAGCAGTAAAGAACTTGTCTTCGCATGTGAAGTTATCGATCAGAGGACCATAAACACCATCGATATTCTTCTCTGCAATGACTTTGAGCACACTGTCGATACCATTAGCAACTGCCTATTCAAGAAAGGATTGGGTGATAAATTAATACGTGGGGAAATTCACAAAGTTATTTTTTACATCAATTTATTGAGAACATGTTACATATAAAAGGAATGTGGTGACTTGTGTAGCAATCTGTGTAGCAATCGCTAGACGGCTGACACTTTATTGCCTCTAACTTTCAAACAACAAATCAGTTGATGGTTAAATAAATTCCTGTATATGCATAAACAACACATAAACAAACAGAGCAGTACCTTGCTCATTGTGGATCTATAATTCCTCTCTGATCTTCCTAGTTCTTCTTTAGTCGTCTGCAAACTCTGCTCCATCGCATTCTCTTCCCTCCACAACTCCCTGAAAACAAGGCGTAAAATCAATACTTTAGTAAATGAACCTACTTTGAAGTAAAACATGCTGCTACCCCAGCAGGAAAGACTCAACATTATGTAATTCGAGGTTATTTTACCTTGGTTATCAAAAAAGGAGGTCGTTCGGTTAAGATACAAAAGAAAATATACAAAATGCATTCTCGTTATTTACTTCAAAAGATACTCATTTGTGAGCAAAGAATGCATTGATTAAAGTGATAGGTGATATTAGAGCTTACTAACTTTCTTCTGTTGTTATGTTCATCTCTTTTTGTTCGCAAAATCCTAAAATGGGCGTTAGCATCTTCCATCTGTGATTTGCGTTCCTCCAAATTATCACTTCTTTCCTTTAAAAGAAGATTTACAAAAAACAATTCAAAACATCATACAAACTTCTTGGTTAGACTGTTTCTGTAGATGGAAAATATCCCTATGAATGCAATAACCTTCCTTTCAAATGAACATTCTTAGTCCTTAACGTTTGCAATTTGGATGGTCAATTTTGAAAATTAAGACGCTACTACATCAAATTCAATTTATGATGTTTGGTTAATAATTGACCAAAACCAATGAAAAATTTATTTTGCAGACCCTATTTTCTTCTTCGATTTGCTGCAAACGATCCCTGGCTTTCTTTACTTCATCGGTTATCCGTGCAACCTAGAAAGAAAAAAATTGGAATTTTTAGGACAAAAAAGAAAAACTTAAATCTACACTGCAGTAAATAACTCGACTGAAAAAAGGATCTAGGTTCACTGTAAACAAACCATGAATTCTTCAAGAATTCAATTTTTAGCATTCATTCACCTTTATGTACTTCATCCTTTAAATTTCATGACTAAATACCAACTAGTTCATCAGTACACGTGTCTTAAAGATAAATTTTAAATGTAGAAAGACGGCTTTCAACACAATAAAATCCAATGGCAAACTGTTACAAGATCACTAAATTATCCAACAGTTCTGAATTTCAATGCTGCTCATATTTCATCACTCTGGTAAAGAATCAGGAATGAAGGCTCAAAGGCTCCAAACTCGTTCCTTCATTTTTGCTTCTAAATTGTTGAATAAAGTCAAGATAACAGCCACCTCGGTCTTGCAAAGCTAAAATTAGAACTAAAACATGCGATTCTGCTATCGGGCAGCATTTACTAGAAAACCCAGATTGTGCAAAAAACTACAATGGCGACATGTTTCGGATTATTGGTAAAGCCCGATCGTCGCTCCACCTAGCAGTTTTGGAATCTATCTACATAAGCACGAAAAAACCGCTTCTGTGTAGACAAAAGGAGTTCGTTTTCACCTTAGGACTCCATTGGTCAACCTTTACAGTCATGTGCTCGTGTTTTCTGATTGGCCTATTTCAATCCACAACTGGGTATATATATTTCCTAGCTTTGAATTTTCGATCTATGTTCTGACGTTTTAAACTCTGAAGAGTGTCAGACGAAAAGTATTAGTTTACTAAATGTTTGCTTTTTTCAAAGCCATTTAAAAGTCAAGATAATTATAAAGTGAATTCTGTGCAAGCTAAAAACCTTTTGTTGCTTCGTCTTGATTGTCTTTGATAGAGAGCTTAGCTCCTGAAACACAACAAATTAATGGTTAGTCCTAGCTTTTCCAAGGATAGGGCAAACAACAATCGAAAGAAATATTGATATAGGGGAAACTCATGACAAGCTTAGAAATACCTTCTTTATCCACTGATCTCTGTCTTCTTTGGTTCTGAATTCAGAGCCTCTTCCTTGCTTAGCATAGAGATCCTCGCGTCTTTGTTCTTTGGAGTTCATTCTGTGGCGCAATAAAAAAACTTAATCAAGAACGAATTTCAGTCTTAAATTTCCAACCAATCAAAACTAAATACATTACAAAATGGTTACAGCACAACCTTTCAACCTAGACACAAGATATTCACTGAAATACTTGCAACAAGACTCTTTCTCTATCAAACAGAACTATGATGAAAACCAAGGTTCAAAATAAAAAGATGCTCAACTTTCTTCACGATCCACAGTGCCATGATCATTTTCATGATTCACATTGTCCATGTGTAACACAGACTCTAAGCAAAGGATAGTTGACAACCTCTGATTTCTTACCGGCTTTGGCAGTCCTCTTCAGTTGCTTTCTTCTCACTATACTCCGGCAGAATTTCCTCAAGTTCTGCTTCTTTGTTTCTTATAAGTTCTTCAAGCTTCTTCAGGTCTCGAGAATTCTTTTTCTGTAGAAAAAACAATTTAGGTATATGAGCAAATCAAACAAAGTCAACAATCAGACATGGGTAAACTTATGATGATGACTACATCAGTTAATATGAAGAGCATATGAGCAATTTTTGTGAAAAACAATTTCCAACCAACCCTTTGGGGCAGTTAATACAGTTTTATTAATAATGCTGGAGAATATCTCTCAGGAAAGAAACGATCCTTTGAAATCTTGATTCCAGATAATACTCGTGCACTAAAAAGATGTAATCAAGATCTGTCAAATCGCAAAGTGAACGGATTTAAATCAAGGAAATGGCAAAAAGAGGTGGCTATGTTACCCTTGTGTTGATGTCTTCGTTGACTCCCTCTTCAAGATCACGAATATCGAGTTCAAGTTTTGTTTTAGTTTTGATCAGATCACCTTTCTCGTCCATAACTTGCTGTTTATCAACCTCTGTCATGTTTTTCTGGTCACTCAGTTCTTTAATTTTTTTATTAATTTCCTGGAACGCAAGACAAATGAATTTGCTTTAATCCTTACAACGACGAGGCAAAGCGTCTATCCCCGTCTTACATGGCGACATACATAGTTCAATGTTGTGTACAGCTGTCTTGTTTGAAAAATTATGCTGGTTTTGATTAAGATATATAATAAAACTTTTTTTATATAAAAGTTAGCTGTCATTGCCATAAATATGATGGTTTGAGCTCAAGATCAAGTATTTGTGCACTGGCGGACAAGAAAATATGAAATCTAGAAACAGAAGCAAAAATAACTCTTACCAAGGAATGCCAGTTCAAAACAGATATTATTTTTGAAAAAATAACCTCATTGTCAACTTACCTCGATCTTGTCAGTTGCTTGACGTACAAGGTCATGAAGTTCTCGGCCTCTGTCGGTATTCCCTTGGCGATTCCTGTCAAGCTAAAAGGAAGAAAAGATTATAACGTGAAGACATGTAGAAACTAAAACAAACTAATGAATTGTTTATCAAGTGCTTGTTCACTAGAAAACGCCAAATTACCATTTCAGTTTAGTCGTTCTCTGCAGAAAAAGCAATTGGAAGGTAAAAGTGAGAAGGTATGACCTTCAATTTTTGCCAAGGTTTTTTGCGACCAATCCAGCTATAAAAAAGCTATTTGGACAAAATATTTTGGACTCAAATACAGCAAGTAAATAATGTCGAAACTGAAAAGCAAAATAAACATACGTCCTCCAGCTTATCCTTGGTTTCTTTAAGCTCCTTATCATGAATTGTATACTCAAGGCATCTGTATCAAACAAAGTATCAAACAAGATAGTTAAGAGGCTAGCAAATCACAACACAGAAAACTATTAAAAGGAACATTTACAATTTGCAATCTCTAACAGTAGCTTTAAGGCGCTTTTTAGAGCAAAAAACAGTTCATCAAGTAGGTCCTTATTTATTTTGTCTGTTTCCCACTTAAAAATGCGCAACGATTAGGCAAAAAAGTAAGATTTTCTGAAGCTACGAAACAAATTATAGACACCCCCAATACAAGTGTTCTGGTCTGCCTCACCTCGAAAGCTTTTTCATTTTAAGTGGCACAAAAGTATCAAGATAAGAACTGAGGGATAACAAAAGATTGCTTGAAGAGAAAAGAGCATTTGTGATACTTTAGAAGAATTTGCATGATGTAAATGGTTACTTGATATCAATCGATTTTCATTCTTTCTTACTGCGACAAAACAGTGAGAAAACTGTCTCTGCTCCAATCTTATGTTTATTGCAATCCTTCATTTTTACTTTAGGTTTCAGGGAACCTATACATTATGCGACAGGAGTAAAACACATTTACGAGTCTATTATCAATAAAATAATCACATTCTAGGATGCAAAATTTGTAGTCTTGACCTTTAGTCAAGTAAGCCATTTCACATTTTCTGTTGCGCAAACCAATAAAGCAAAATAGTGAAATGAATTCTTTACATACAATGAATAACCATATTTTTATCAATCACGCTATCAAAAGTGGTCTTTGCTTCCAAGTCTTTGATATTTTTAAAAAAATAGCTGATATACAAATAATGAAGTATTTGATTTATTAATTTTCATCCTATGATTGGGAAAGTAATCAAATGGTTTACTACATGATATAACAAAATGAACAACTATATACGTATCTATCATAAGTGTTTATAATATGTTTGTCTTCTTAGGCCCCACTATATAATAAATTCGTATTTGCCCTAGTGTCCGAGCTAAAAGCTCAGTTAACATAAAAGGTATGTCTACTAGGCTTGTGTTATCCACTACATACATAATCACTTCATATAAACTGTGAGACAAAAGCTTAAGAAGTCATCCAATGTGAAAATTTAATATAGAACTTATTGTATGTGATCATACGCAATGGCCGAGAGAAAACAATAATAATAATAATCAAAATAGCCCAGAAGTGTAAAGTGATACACGAGAAGAAGGAATCCTTTGCTGGCAAAATGAAGGAATTGAAAATTCTATTCAAATAAAATGGCAACAGGAGTCTTGATTTTTGAATTCTGCACGATAAAATGTAAACATAAATAGAAAATATAAACAAAAATATAACCTCCTGTCTTTATCCAGCTTCTGGTATTCTTTCAGTTCCTCTTTCTCAGTTTCAAGAGTTTCCAGTCTTCCTTCTATGTAGCTCAGCATCTCAGAGATTTTATCACGATTACCCTCTGAAAAAAACAGGCAACTTGAAATAAAAAGATGAAAAGTTTGACACAAACGACATCAGAAAAGCCTAAACTCTGATCCTGATTATAGATTAAAAATACAAAAAAGAATATGTGCAGTAAAGTTGTTCAAAGGTGACCACAGCTGAATAATATATACCCAGATTTCTACAAAAAGATTATGCCCTATAAAAACACAATTTCATTTCAGTGCATCAGCCTTTCTCGCTCTCTGTCTTCCTTCTTAGAAGTACAGAGCAAATACTGTCTTCATAGTTGCCCACCAAATTAAGAAGCCACCATTTCAAGAAGAGACATAAATGATCCAAATTTCACATTTATTATTGAAAAATAAATTCAAATTTTTAACGAGCTCAAAACAGAGCTATCATCTCAAAATCAAAGTATTGCAAAAATTGTTGACCAAAGTGTAGCTGAGTATATAATGGAATAGAGTGGCAATGTTTTGGTATACCATACCTGATTCCTTGAGTATGGATTTGCTTTGCTCTTTCTTCTCATCATAAACACGTGTACCTGCAACTTCCCTAAGCAGCTTCAGTCTTTCATGGTCTTTAGCAACTGCAAGCTGCATTATCTTTAAAATGAAAAGCACAAATATTTTATGAGGCAATTTATTGCTTAGATTCACTGATGGATAAAATAAGTCAATGAAGAATTATACTTGCTTGGTGTGGAAAATTTGACACTCTGTAAGTAATGTACAATTATCATGAAACAAATAAGGGTGAAAATATTACGAGTACCATCAAATTTACAAAGTGAAAGATGAGCACTTAATCACAATGTGCAGAGCTGGACTTTTTATCAACAGCAAATTCTTTAACATGGGTGGACTTCCCAAAATAAACAAAAAAAATTGATCCACATGCCATATAGCTTTCATAAATGTCTTTCATCCAAGTTTTTGTTTCTAGCAGTGAAAGCCTTGAGATATGTTAATTTGATTCACAACACTGATTGTCAGAATTGATCTTCATCTACTTATGTTTAATGAGAAGGCAGCCTCTGAGGCTTCCAATTTCACCTAACAACAAATGCCGAAATACATACTTGAAGCATTTAAAGAACAAACAAGTTTTACAATAAGTTTCAATATTTTGACTTAATAATAATCTACTTTTGTTGCCAAAAAATAAAACCATTGGGAATATATGCAATACTATTTCAACACAACTAATCAGTTGGACACTGCAACTCACCCTGCCTTGTTTCACAATGTAATATGGATTACTACGAGAGAAACCAGCACTTTCAAGCAGATTCATGACATCTGCCTTGGTCACATTTTTCTTGTCAAGGAAATACTGATCTTTCTTGGAGCCAATCACTCTCCTTAAAGAAACTTCCTCTTTCTCTATCTTTTATAGAAAAAAGATTTGATTAGAGGTGATCTAAATGCAATAAACTGGGAAAGTAGAAATGCATTTTTTATCAGATACATATTGATATAAATATATATAGCTCACTTTGGTGCATAGAGTATTTTCCAACCTAAGTATTTGACAAGGCATTTTTCCAAAAACCAGGCCAGTTTGAAAGAAATAAAGTTTTGTCCTCCTGACTGCTCATACCAACAGCACATGATCAGTAATTAGAACTTGAAAATTATGCTTTACAGTCTCAATTCTAAATAACCTCAAGGCAAGAAAATTGACTCACTGGTATTCTGTTATCAGCATTGTCAAAAATAATTTCCACATATGCAGAAACAACTCTTGGTCCAGTTCCTTCCTGAAAAACACAAAACTCCATCTTTAGCCAAGAGATATCAAGAATAAGTTTTCTAAATGAATAAATATCATAGGCAATTTACTTTACAGAAGAAGAACTAGGGGAAAACCTTTATTTTGCTTTGAATACATTTTGAAGATACAGTTTTGAAGCTGCTACTCAAAAGTTACTGCCAGTTTCTTCATTTGATATTCTAAAATTAAGGTGAATTCAGTTTTTTGTCTACAAGATCCTACAGTTCCATATCCAGACATGTCTATTTACATCTAGAATAAGGATAATTCACCTCTCCAGAAAGATAAAGATTATGGGAAAATACAAATAAAATTGCAATCAATACCAAGTCAATAATACTTTTATTAAAAGGCTAGAAACGTACATGAAGTAGCTGTTGTCTTTCTTCTTGACCCATGTGACTAAATTCATCACTGAGGACAAACTGGATTGCTAAAATAAAATAGGTATGATACAAAAGCATGGGGTTAATAATACAAATAACAAAAACAATCACATCATCTAAGTAGCTTATCAACTATATTCAACCTTAACCCAATGGAAGTATGTAACAATTGTTTTACATTTCTATAAAAATCTTTGTAGAAAACAACAAAGAAGATGAAACCAATAAAGAGGAAATGCAGCCTACCAAGAAAGAAGTTACTTTTTCCTGAACCATTTCTTCCCACTAGAAAACAATGAAAACCCAATAAGTCAGCTTCAAATGAATCAGTTTACATTATATTATAATATACATTTCGTCAATGGATGTCTTTAAGTTTCATTAAACACCATAGCCTAAAGGTTACTTGAATGAAAACAAATGTCAAATGAAAACATAACAGAGGGCAAACTAATATTGAATAAAGTTTTCTGAAAATCCCATAGATCCTCAAAAGAAAAAAACTTATTTGCTTTGTAAAAAAGATTTCTAGCTGAGGCACCGAGTAACATACAACCCTATATTCACCACTTTACAAACAAACCCCAAAACTCACCAACTACATTGTGTCTGGGACTGAATGGGTCAATAATTGTTTGGTCTCTGTAGCTTCTGAAACCTTGAATTATAACCTAAGAAAAATAAGTAGTATTTATGGTCAGTGTGGGGAAAAATGCACATGGCGATTTTGGGAGTAAAAAATGCGCACCTGTTTCTACAGTGCTGTGGAGGAGTAACCAACAGTTTGCGAAATGGATAAACCAAACATTTGATGATAGTTTCAATGAATACCAAATCCAAAAATAGTGCGCTTTTGTTTTTCATTGTGTATTTGAAAAGTGGACGCTCCAACTTATGATCATATCAAGTTTTCCATGATAATGGTAAACTTTTCAATTTCTCATCTCATTGACTACATTATATTACAGCATTACATCACAGCATTACATTACTTCAGTGTTGAGGTCATTGCTCATAAACAAATATTGCTGCTCCTCCCAAGTTGCATCTTTAGAGGGGCCTGCGCATTTTTTAACCGTTAGGGGAAAAAATGCATACCATAAAATTGTTTTTCCTTATATAAAATATAAAATATATGAAATAAAATAAATAAATGATAATGGGGGAAAAGTTGAAGAAATTCAGGGAGCCAGAAAGCTGAGGTGATTACAAGAAAGATCTTTTCTAAAGCGTGTACTACAGGGACCAGTTTTATTGAGAAAAGGTACAGAAAGACATTGGCACAGATCTTGATGAAAATTGTAGCACAGTGGGGATGAACTACCTCCATGGATTTTGGGATGTTGGGAGCTTGTAATTCAACGAAGCTCTGCACAATCATGATTCAGTACAATACGGAAACATGACCTGTCTGGATGTTGAATCTATTGTTATTAGCCATATTTATACCGTATTGACCGATCTATTCTCTTTGTAATAATGATGTATTTTAGTTTTAGAAATCATTTTAAACAAGTATTAACCAATTTATTGAATCAAATTAACATTGCATATGCATTCCCTTTGCAGTAGCTTCTACCCTCATTATTTTGCACATTTTTCACGTCTTTCATTGATTCCCACACACAATATTTGCTTATCTTGTCATGTTCCCTGAGAATATTTCATCATCAACTTCTGACTTCCCATTACAATAAGAACAAACAATACAAGCTTTCTTTGAAAGCCTCTGCAACAAATTATGTGCATGATCATTATCCACAAATTTGAATACTATTGTTATGGTGTTACCGATCCAAATACTTTACAATGTGGCAACTGTTTATGGACAGCATTTTTTCTTATACTTCACTTTTAAAATTGTATGTATGTAAACAAATGTAAGTATGTATGCATGTTTGTATGAAAAAACTTATTAAAAAGCCAAGTTCTAAGATTTTTGGGCATGAAATACGTTTTTCAGGCCTAAATTTAAGCTTTTTCTTGGAATTCTTCTTAACTTAAACAAATATTCTTTTTGCATCAGCACACAAAGCTAACAAAAGGGTAAAAGAAGCTGCTTTATTTTTTCAGTGCCAATAATTGGGCATTTTCCTCCAGGTTGGCTCACAACACTGGGTAAAACTCGTCACCTTATTCCTTCCAGTGTACTTCCTTGTTTTAAAGGTGTCGAATCAAATTTCTTTTATGCACTTTTCATTCCCCTCCTTTTTTCTAATTTTCATCTACCAATCAAGCAAAACGTAACCCGCATTTAAATGTTTTTATTTTCTGCTATACTATAGACCTTAGACTTCAAGGCTCGTTCTAGTAGTTTGAATACGGTCATGAAAATAAGATTTGAGAACAAAAATGTAACTTTTATGTTGGCTGCTGCATCTAAAAGAGAAAGTGACAAGGTTCGATTGTGTCTGTCGATGATGTGTTTATAAAATAATGGCCTACCATCAAAAATTAACTTTAGTAAGAGCGAACTGACCTGTGGTAACATCAATGTGTTAAAAACTTATGCAAACCTGTTTTATATACATGCTTCACGTAAAATATCCTTTAAAGGTGAACAGATTGAGTCTAAGTCCTTTTTTCTAGTGCATCTGTGTCCAAAGCGTTCTTCATTCAAAATGGCCGCTACAGCTGGCTTGCAATCGAATGGAGCATAGATTTGGCGGGAAGGTAAATTCCTTCGCAGAGGTAACGCCTGCCTTGCCACTAAATTTGGAATCGAGAAAAAGGTTCTTCATTCAGTGACTTCGCCTTTGGAGAAGTGGAACCGTGGGGGTGGGGGGAGGGGGTGCTCAGTTTCTTGCAAAAATTCAGATTTTAGGTTTTAGGGGTGATTTTAGGAGAGATTTTAGCCTCCATTAACAAGCGAGTTGATATTTGGCTGAAAGAATTCTGAATTGGCATCCATTATGTTTATCTAGATTTCTAAATATACTATAGATGAGCAATTTCTTATCAGCGGAGAGCCTCTATCACAGATGGACAGTCTGTGTTTAGGGTGTCCGGACTCATGCTCCCCTTCCAGGAAAAATTTTGACTTTCGATGAGTCTCTTTGGCTCTGCTGGCCTTCAGAGACCTGCTCATGTGGTGGTCAGTAGATTTTGTCTCATTGCTTCATTTTTCATGAAAGGACCAATTTGTCTCGACAATACAAAGATGGATGGATTCTTTTCCTTATTACAAAGTAATGAAATCCATTTTAGGACTGGAATTAATCAAACGTGCTAACACGATGCCTTAAAAATAGCAAAATTTCTAAACGATTTCAAGAAAATGACTGCAAGAAATATTTTGAAATGTTTTTTAAGCCAATCTTAAAGGCGTGGTCGCAAAAATTTTCTGCTCGCTCCGCTCGCAAGAAAGCCTCTTTTATTCAGAGTTATACCAAGGGCCTCCAACAACCTTGCACCGGCCCTTTACAATGTTTGTTTTTTAGTCTCCCCCCCGCGAGCTGACGCTGACGCTGGCCCCCCACTTTGAATTTCTTGGCACCGCCCCTGTACTGCCAATATTCTCGATAAAGACAATAGTGTTAGTTATGGAGGGCGCCATTTTGACGCTGGCCCCCCCCAGGCGAAAAGGGCCAGGCCGCAATGTTGGTTTTTTTTAAAATAACCAAGAAACAGCAATCTAAATGAGTAGAAATAAGCATATCATCAATGCTTGTGGGGGGGGGGGGCGGCTGGGGAGTGATTTTTTTCAAAAAGGCTACAACTTGCCAGCTAGTCCAATGACTTTTGGCCAAGATTGTAGCAAAGAAAAACCGTTACGTTTGTTAAATTAGAGGAAAAAATCTTGAGGAATGATGTTACAAAAACCTTGAAATTAGAAGTAAAACGTTAACGTATGAAGGAAAAATCGATAATTCGGACTTGAACTACTGCTTGAATTTTTAAATGACTTTTGAAAGCATTGTTTTTGAAAATAATAAAGTTTGGTTTCCCATTGGACTAGCCTCTCTTTAGTTTTTTTAGGTCGTTCTAAAATCGAGGCCCTGGAACAACAACAAGCATGTCTGCAAAAAGGGGCTCGCACCTGCAGCCAGTAACTACGTGAAACCAGGTGCTGTCCGTTATAGTTTATGAGTAACATTGTGAAAATAAGAAGGGAAAAGATGCCGCCAGATGATGATAATGGAAAAAAGCTCAATCAAGAGCGAGCATATTATAATTCAAAGCTTGGAAACTTAGCTGTTTATGCTAGTAAGTTTGGAGTTACAAAGATTGAGTTTGCAGGGGAAATTGTAAAAGAAGAACATGTGTATGAGTCCGGATCGTTGCTGCAGATAGATGAAGTAACAAATCCAAGCACCAATCCTGTAAACAGGCATATCGCCGTATGCATGAGATGGCTTCACCAATATTTCAGTGATCCAAGTAAAATCGATGATGTAGAAGTACCGAGGTTAGACGTCAGCCCTCATCAGAGTAGGCAGTTCCTTGTCAAGGTTTGGCAGATATTGCGTGCCAGAACTCAGCCAGGGCAAACCGTAACATATGGTAAGCTTGCTGCCATGGCAGGAAACTCAAAAGCTGGCAGGTCTGTTGGACTTGCCATGAGACGAAATCCATTTCCTATTGTTGTTCCATGTCACAGGGTGATAAAGTCAAATGCAAAAATTGGACATTACAGCGGATTAAATGGCACTGAAACGAAAAAATGGCTTCTTGACCATGAGAAGGCATTTTGCAGCAAAAAATTGACAACATCCCAAAAGCTTGAATAGTTGAATCATAGGCCAGTTTGCCACTGGCAGATAGGTAATCTTGGTGAATCCAGATTGTATTCCTTGTTCTCCCTCCCCTGAATGTTCCTGCAATGATGGCTGTGCTTTGTACAGTAATAAAGTATACACTGCCAGCCCAACAGACACCCAGGTAATGTTTGTCAATAATGCTGAAAATTCCCAAGCAGGATTCCATCGAAAACAGCTCTCTGTCAAAACATTTGGTATAGCAAAACTTGTGTGTGGCTGTCTGCTGTGTAACTCTAATCGGAGGTTTTTGGAATGCAAACTGGAGCTGCATGCCAAGATATTAGCCACGGAACTTTTTGACACACCAAGCTTTTTATTTTCTGCTTTTGCTGCAAAAATGTTATTATGAATAGCTGGCAACATATTTGTATTGTAAATACATTGGAAATAATTTGTTATAATAATTTGAAAATAATTGTATTATTCTGTTGTCAAAATGTAACCCAACTTTATGTTTTCATAATCTGATTTAATGCTGGGGCCTGAAGCTCATAAAACAAGCAATGTTTTTCAACAGGCAAACCAGATGAAGTCATCTCATTTGAAATTTTCTAACTAATCCTCATGCATCTTTTGCATTTATAAATGTTTATTAAGTCTTTGCATATAATTTATAAAAAAAACTTATAAGAAGATATTCAGAAATCTGCAGTATACTGGGTACATCTGGAAGACCTAACCCTTTTCAAGATCTGTTTTAGGACTTTAGTAGCTTAAAAGTTGAAGGATTAGTTGTTTTTAAAATTGTTGTTTCTTAAAGGATTTCTGTTTTTGTTTTCATAATGTTGCTGCTTCTAAAGGATGTTGCTCTAATTGTCCATATTGTTTATTTGCTACTCTAAAAATTTTTTTGAACATACTTAAAATATGTTTTCGATTATAAGGTGTGTCATGCAACACTAGAAAATGTGTTCAACATGTCCTTTTGTTACAGTATTGCTGATAGCAGAATAGCAATTTGAAGAAAGCACAAAATGTTTTCTGGATTGCACTTTGGGCATATAATTTGCGTAATTTCTGTCTTGCCCATGGCTAGCTCTTTTATACACTAGATAAAAGATTATAGCCTAATGCAGACACAATACTGTAGGAATTAATATTATTTACAACCAATGTACAATCTTACTATGTTAAATAAAAATTTACCATTAAAGATTTACCAATAAAGGCTGTGCAAAAAGATTTACAAAATCATATATATAGCAAATATTTGAAAGCGGGCTTTATGTAGTCTTAATATATTACAGAGAATTTGAATGTAAATTGTATTCACTATAATATTTCATTTGACTATATGATTGGATCATTCATTTGATTGAAGTTTTTCAAATATCAGATTACAGGTGAAAATCCAGGTAGAATAATTGAATGAATCCCTGTTAGTTACCCAAATGCATTCTCATTATATGTATTTAGTTTTTACACTACTCTATGTCAGTATGCAAAATGCTGAACCATTATTCTTTTTTAAAATTCTGTTTTCAGGAATCTTCTCCTCGCTCTCCTTTTGTTGTTGTAGATTGGGATAATTCACCTTTGAATTTGTGTCATCTTTGGTGTCATCAGCAGTGCTCTTGAGGCTATCTTTTTCTTCCTCTACGCTAATTTCTGTAATAGATTTATGTTGTTATTTATTGGTATGAGCCCATCTTTTGCAATATCATTCAAATCAATAACATAAAAACAAAACGTGAACGCTTGTTTCCTGCCTTTCAAAGGAGTAAGAAAACATTAAAAAGTGCCGATTAAAACATCAGTGATAACAGACAAAAGTTAAGCTAGTTTTTTTTAAAAATTATTTTTGATCATAGCAAGAAATTTGCTTAACTGGATAAAGGACTTTCAAAAGGCGGTACAAGTGCCGTTCAGTGCAAAGAAAATTATACAAATACTGTCATTTTCTGTGCACACAAAAAGGGTGATAGCATCTTAAAAGAGGCCAGGCTTTTAAAACAGGCCTATCTTGTGATTCGTTTTTTTGTCAGAAGAAATGCTATGTTAAAAATTGAGATGCCCTCGAAATCTTTAGAACGAATTATTTACCCTGAATATATTTCAGAGGCTGCACTTTGGTAAAACAAGGGTGACTACGACAAGGATAATAAAGACAGTCACGCGGAGCACTGATAACGACTGTTTACCGTTCTGTCTTTAAAAATTGTAAATGTCGTTAAGACATAGCCCAAACTTGACTCGTATGCCTTTTGATAAAGATCACGTAACGGCAAAGAACGGTATTTCCGTGGAAGAAAAAGGTCTTCTTGCAAGGATTGGGCGATTAAATTGAAATTTTTCGATAATTACCTTCTTCAACATTATTGTCAGCAAGACTTTGCCACTTGCTTTTGTTACCAACGATTCCATCAAGCAAAGGCTGGAGGTTTTGATTCACTTTTGGAAGGAGCTAGAAGTCAGAGAGATTAATTTTGGCTTGGTTCTAGCAAATCTCAATTTGATTTGATCAGTTTTTCGATTTAGGACGGACACAATATTAAACCAGCAGTCTAGATAGCTGCTTGGCGTTGAAAAGACCCAGGTCACAGCAATTAGAAAATTCGAAAGAGCACCACTTAATTGAAAAATTAGGTTAACAGGATAAACGACAAGCAACATCAGTACTAAGGAGCGCTAGATACAATATCATAAAATAGAGGCATTCTAGACAGTAGTGTTACAGAGGTATCTGGGGTCCTAGGGAGAAACTCTGAGACGGGGCCCCTACTTACGGACTGAAAATTAAGTCACATCAAACACCGAAGAACACATAAAACACGGTAACAAGATGATAGCATTTTCTCGTTAATAAAGGAGAGCTGAGTTATAGAAACTTCAGTTGATGAACTTTGATGAATTTGAGTGAAGCCTTAACAACATCGATATGAAAAATTTGGGGCCTGTTTTGGTCGAATGCCCCACGTTGTCGAACTATGGTGCCCTAACCTGCGTTATCTCTCTGGTTCTAGGGCAAAAGCTCAATAAGTTTGATGAAGGTTGAATGTATGTCTACTGAGACCAATAAGAATTCTTTTCTGTCATAGTCAATTCGTATATGAAACGACTGAGGGAGTAAAACCCCTTGAGAAAACCGATTGAGGAAAAGCTGATTTCAAATATAGCGGTAAAATAAGCCCCCGATTCTGTGTTATAGCTGTAGAATAGACAGTCGTTTGTCTTTTTCAATACAAAAACTGTTGCATATATGAAGAAGTTCAAAGATGATAACGAACCTCGTAAAGGGGCATGCAAACATAATTTATGAAGCCAACTTGCATCTTGGGTAGCTCATCCTTCTTTTCTCTGTTCATCATAGGCTTCAAATAAATGCAGATGTACTCAATAAACTAGTTTTGCGTAAACCATGTCATAGGTGATTTTGTGTGCTGAACCTAGATTTTTGAATTAAATGATATTTTCACTACGCATTGATAAACAAATTTAAGTATATTTTCGCTAAAATGATCCTCCGCTTCAAATAATATATACAACATACTATTTAAAAGAAACTCACAACAGGTTCTAATTTTAACTGTGATCTTTCCATGTCTCCTTGTTCAAAGAATTCACTGGCAACCATCTCTGCAACCTTAAATTAAAAGTCGGATAAATTTTCAAAAGTGCAATATTTAAAGGATTATGAAAAATTGAGAAGGAATAGAAAACACAGTCGTTTAATGTACATTTAACAAGCATTAACTCTGGTGCAAGTTTACAGACATATGATAAATACGCTACCCAAAGAATATGCTACACACAGCACTAATTCGATGCCACAAGTTAAAGACCATTTCTACCCATTGGCTTGTTACACTGAAATTGAACAACTTAAAATGAACAAAAATATTAAGCATATAAAGACAGAGAAGAAAAGAAAATCTATTTTGAGCAAATTACAATTTGATGCGGGGTCATGTTTACATAATGGTGGCTGAAATGTCTTGATCGCAAGGAATTTTCACGTAAATCGTTTAAATCAAAACATTGAATTTAAATCCCTTTAGCCTGTTGCTTCAATAAAACGTAGAATTAATACGAAAATAAAACGTAGTATATTCCTGTTAACAATATTTTGGTAAGACATTATTACCATACAACAAGAGTAAATTTGCAATTTCATTTGGAATATTATTGAGTCCCAACAGTCGCTAAAATTGAAAATCTTCAGAAAGGGATCTCGCTCTTGTATGTCAAAGATGAGCAATGCAACATTTGCTCGGTTTCCTCGACTTTATTGCTGGTTGGGCGCATTGATCTTGGACATGTTTCTATTTGACTTCCGCAAGGGAAGGAATGTCGTATAATCTTTCCATTCAACTATAAGTGAGAAACGTTGGAAATTGTTACAGGGGCCACTTTAAGCCTCCTATCTTGGCTTCTGATAACCCTAATAGCCTGCCGGCAAGTTTTATGTTGATATTCTTTCCAATTGCATCCAAGGGCATAGGCAAGTGGTATTGGCATGCGAAAAACTGAAGTACCAATTCCACTTTTACATAGGCATATTTGGCAGAAACCCTTGGTTGCAGTGCCTCAGTTAAAGGGGTGGTCTCTAAAAAAGTGGGTCGTCGGTTGGACCCATCCCTTTACCAAGCTCTGGTATCCAATAATAATAATGATATAGCATACCCATACTTGAAAATGTTTACTGCTATCACTAAGGGTCCTGTTAAAATTCAAGTGTGCAAAGTAAAGGATGACGCTTACAAGTGCCCAGGGAAAAAACAGTAAAAATCTTATAATTAATCAGGTTGAAAAAAATAAAGTCTGTTTGTTTTTCTTTTGAGTTTGGAAAGAAATATATTATTTTTTATATCTTTCGGTAAAATTTTAAAAATCACTGCTCTTGAAAAGCAAAAGCTTTTCTTTCCGACACACACCTCACAAAGCCTGGCAAACTTTTCTACCAGAGTAATCTGTTGTGCCTTCAAATTTCTTGAAACTTCCAATCCTTAATCGGTTGAACATGGCAATAGCTTTCAGGGCTACGCAATTGAATTCCATTGGTAGTTGTGACACACTTAAGCTCTAAGAATTGAGGACCACAGGTTACGCCGTTGGAGCAAATGGTGCCCCTCTGTTTGAAAATCAGAACCTCTCTTTCGAATTTCTACCTAAGTTCAAGGAATCTATGAAAGACCTACGTACCCGTACTTGCACATTCCAAGGCTTCGTAATTGCGGACAAATCACATGCAGTCATCAGCATCGCCCTAGCAAGAAACAGCAACGATCAAGCTTGGACTAAACAAGGTTTCATCATAAAATATAAAAAAATATAAATATAAAATATAAAATATCATATGCGAAGTTTATTTTGTTTTCACCTACTGCATATCTAGGCTGAGAAAAGTAGATCAAATTAGAGAGCTAGAAGGCTAGCTTTACATATAGAAAACTTTAATGAGTCGATTCCTTTTTTATGTTTCGTTAGTATTAACTCCCTGCAGATTTCTTTACCTAAAAAATTGATTATCTTATGGAACAAACACAGCAATTACGCAGTTGTCCTCAGCTTAGACACACAAATCCCATATTTTTGCTGCCCCCACTTGCCTACCTTAAAATTTTTCCGTTGCTCGTATCTCTCCAGTCTATTTCATTTGATTCTATCCGTCGTTTGAAATCATCTCGTTGTCTGTAAAAGTGAACAAAAAATGATGCCAGTGGCGAAAAGTGTCTGATTTATCTCATACAGATGCCATTTTATTCAAAATTTCATGGAAAAATACATAACATACAGGCTTAAAAAAGACAATACAGAAATTCAGTATGGACAAAATAGATATAAAATGCACTCTCAATGATCTGAAAATGATCTGTCATAAAAAATACTGCACTCACTTGAAGTAAAGAGCGAGGTCTGTAGATAGTATTGCATGCTCAAGAACAGCCATAGCCTCCTTGTATTGTTCTCGATCAAGAGACCCAAACAGGTTATTTCCCTAAAATTGCGTTTTTTAACACTTTTGAATGCAAATGTATTCGAAAGGAGAGTGCAAAAAGGGCTAGATGTATTTGAAGGTTGATATGAAGATATTTCATAGATCTTAAAAGTTACCATTCGATGTTTACATGGCTAGAGTTATTAAAGTGACGTTGTCAAAAAATTACAAAGCCTTAAAACACAACGAATCATCTAAATGTGAAAATTCCACTGAAGCTGTTGAAAATAAGCTGAGATACGGCTAGTAAAGAGACGAAGTTTGCTAACGATCTGCTGTTTTTCGCCTTGTTTATAATAGGCAGGGCATTCCTCTGAACCATCGACCGCATTGCCTAACCTTTGTTTTCTCGGCTGATTATGGAACAATATGGTATAACGAATTATTTAAGCCCTTACAACATTTTCAAAAATTCATCAAAGTCACGTTACCGATGACGTCAAAAAAGTTATGTTTCCTAGACTCAAAACCATTGTAACTTCTCAAGTATACGTCTGACTTCAATATAAATGCTAGATTCGGGCTCGCCTGAAGGAAAGCTTTCCAATGATATATACACATCAGTATTTTAACGATGTCAGCAATTTCCAATGATGACGTCATCACTCTCAAAATGGCCGTCGAACAGTACATTTTTAGACAAAAGCTCTGATCTAATCAACTGCATTTCTGGATCGTTTTATGGCAATGTTTTGTCAGGTAATTATTCTGCATCACTCAATTTAACGTTTAAATCCTCGAATTGCCCCCTCCCACTCGAAAAAGCCCCCACCCTAGCACTACAAAATGTCAATAAGCCCTCCTCGAATAAGCCCCCACTGCTACCATAAATTCTCGAATGGGACCCCTCAATTTGATGATTTTTGCCATCTGAGGTTGCCTACGGCGTTTTATTGAATTACCACAACAATTCATACGTTTTATAGTAATTAATTAAATGCTCATAAAGAAATTCTTCTTAAAATAAATGACGTCTTTTACTAATGTCTTCTTAATGTCTACAATAGTTTTATAACCCCCCTCGTATCAGCCCCCCCCCCACGAATATGCCTCCATCCAAAAATATAAGAAATAAATAAGCCCCCAGTGGCTTATTCGAGGATTTACATTATATATTTGCCTCAAATCCATTTACCGCCAGAATCCTCCGACGAACTGAAGTCATAAACTTCCCGTTCACTCTCTAGTTCATCAGAAAGTTCAGTGCTACTTAGGTCAGAGTCTACCTGGTCTGTTGTTTCCTTGTATTCGTTACTAGCACCGATTTCGTCGACGCTACGGGCCTATTTCGGTACCTCAGTACATCTCTTGTATTTCTTTGGAGCAGGGAGATTTTCACTGCCACTTTCGACATCTGCCCCAACGTTTTCTGAAAGTCGGCTCTTGCTTTTCCGTCTTGACTTCAAAGAAGGAGGCAGCAAGATTTTAAGGAATACTCTTCAGAATACCCTTCCAGCCACAACTTTCGAAAGAAAGTCTTGATGGATGGTCTACGCAACGCAACCAGCAGTAGGCTATCTTCTAGGAATGTGAATCAGAAGGGAGTTAAATGTTACTTTCATTTTGTCATACCATTTTAGTCTTGTTTCCACATAGCTTCTCTTGACCTTGTCAGAATACATTACCATACTTTTCCTTCTCCAAGGCTGTCAAGCAGTTCAAGGTATCGCGGGCTCTTGATGACTGTCTTCAGCAGCCTTACCTTTCCTACGTTGCGGAAATAGGATTTAGAATTACACCTAGATAAAGCATGTAAAGCCTGTAGATTAAGGCAAACATCTCTTCCGAAATGGAAACCATTTGCGTTTTACATGGAGAAAAGCAAAAGCCCAATGTGTCTTCCTTCAGAAATCAGTCTTATGATATCAATTTGCTTCTAATTTTGATATAGGAGCTCGTGGCATTTATATCCTTGCAACATGGTTTGGTAGTACACTTCTAAATGACCTCTTGGCCCTGGTTCACCAACTTATACCCAGCTTCAGGAGCAACAAATTTGATAAGGTTGCGCGTCCGCACTCGGTACGTTGGCATCGGCTTGATGGAGCGAACTGCTACCACTCCGTCTACTATCCAAACGGCAGACTTCGGAGGCATGTCTTTGATCCATTGCCACTCTTCGACCAAGAGTCGTTGCTTTAAGTTACTTTGCAAGAGTCGAAGTTACTTTGTCTGACTGACACAAAGTTAAACCAGCTGTAGCGATAGAAATTGAAAGAGGAACGCTTGTCATGGGTTGAGTGAATGCCTCTTGCAGACTTCCTGTCTTCAAAATGAGTAGTTAAAGGCCTGTTTTTGTGTTCCTTGGCCACGGTAGGTGTCCCCTTGACCTTTTCCAGATCTGACTTCAGTTTTGGTTTTTTTGATCGGCGTGAAGAATTAAACGCTGCCATTAATCAGGCGATCATTTGTGAAGCGATGCATATTCCCTTCTCCTATGATCGACGCTGCAAGGAGGTCAGTAGAACTTTATTGTTCTAGTTCTTCACCAGTTAAAGTCGATTTCGTAGGTGTAACAGAAAACCGATTGGTGCCATAGCTTCGAAGAGTTCTCTAAGGCTACCATTATGCTTCTGAAGGAGCTTTGTCCTACCTGGAATGCTGTACTTGTGAATTGATGATGACTTTACGAAAAAGTATTTTTTTTAGAGCCTCTCTAAACTTGCTATGAATGTGGGACGTAGCAATCCAAGTGTTAACCGCATTAACGTTTGCTGAAGCCAGACCTGTATGGACCTGCAGTCCCTTTAGCTTCTTGATTAAATAGCTCTGTATGTAAATCGCAATGAATTGCAGAGAATTTGTTTTGAAATTTCCGCCAAATTCTTTTTTGTTCCAATCTTGGAATGCTGTAGTTTGTTCACCCTCACCCTGTAATGATTAAAGTGCAATGGAGAAGCAGATGTTGGTATGTCCAGTAGCGGGCATAGTTGATGTGATTCAATGCAAATGTAAGCAGAATCATATTTCGCACTGCTTGCAAAAGTAGCTTAGTGTTGCTTTTCTGCAAAGCTGCTACCATGCTCAACAAAGCAGACAAATCCTCCAGCTTAGTGATTTCAAGCGACTTTTCAGTTTTTTGACGATTTTCAAGAATCAACAGTTTTTGCATCAATCTGCCATTGCTTATGGGCATTGACTGTGTGTGTTTTTTTGGAAAAGACGTTGGCGAACCCATGAGTTGATGAAAGCAACCCATCAGCACCTTGATCTGACTATACAAGTCAGCATTCGTTCACATAATTTGGTTCATCTTTGCCTTCCCCATTTCATCCGCATGAACAAAAACATGAAATATGTCAAGATCATATCTAAGAAAGAATCAAGGTATATTCCTTGCATACTGATCATATCTTGCATACTGAATCAAGGTATATTCCTTGCATAGAAAGTATTTTATTGAATAAATTGTTTTAACTTAGATTTTAATAAAAACATTGTAAACTTTTACCCCTTTTTAACATACATTTTAGACTTAATATTTTCAATTGTAATGCGCCTATGAGCCCTGTGGATATATGGCGCAATATAAGTGTTTTTATTATTATTATTATTATAGTGGATAGACAGGCACCTTATGAGTGATTGGCAAGGTATCTAGCCCTGTCAGGGGTATTAAATAAAGGCTTTAAAGTAATAAATCATATAATAATTGTTTCCTCCTGTCTCCTGGCAATGCCAATAATATAAGCCCTTGGCCTTTGTGCAAAGCTCGGTTTCGTACCGATGGCTTCAGGTCCGGTCTTCGGAAACAATTATTTTAGATTTAATTAATAAAATTGAAAGAATAATAATGAAAAACTGTGGATGGCGAAGGAGCAGCTTTTTCTCTGTTATAAAAAAGTGTCAATCAAAACCATGCATGATGTCAAATTGCGATAATGCCAAATTGTGCCTAGCAAAATCAGAGTCAGCTCGCTGGTCGACGGCCATTTTAAAAGTGATGACGTCATCATTGAAAATTGCTGATATCGTTAAAATAGTGATGTGTATATATCATTAGAAAGCTTTCGTTCAGGCGAGCCCGAATCTAGCATTTCTATTGAAGTCAGACGTATACTTGAGAAGTTACAATGATTTTCAGTCTAGGAAACAGAGCCTTTTGACGTCATCGGTAACGTGACTTTGATGAATTTTTGAAAATGTTGTAAGGGCTTAAATAATTCGTTATACCATATTGTTCCATAATCAGCCGCGAAAACAAAGGTTAGGCAATGCGGTCGATGGTTCAGAGGAATGCCCTGCCTATAACATTTAAAAGCTAGAGTAAGTTAGAGTGACTTAATTGGGAAAGTGTTCAGTGCTCGGACACCACACTTCGGTTACTTAGTAACAGATTTAATTGATTTTCTAAATTTAAAGGTTTATAATAGTATTCCTTATGGTTATATTGTCCAAATTCAAAAATATCTAAAAACGTTTAATAATGGCGTCATTAAGCCTTAAATGATCCTTTCGCTAAACTCAACGATGATTTGATGTTGAAATCAAGCAAGATTCTTGTTAACATCAACACATTCTATCCAGCTAACTGATTTCTGTATTGTAAAATAAACAAAAATGCTCCCCGTAGTAAGATGTTAATCTTTTCTATCACCTGGTACAAATATGGATGATTTATGTAATGAAGACGAGTCTGGCTAAAGGAAATTTTCCAGGATGATTATCATTATTGAAAACCCGACGCACCTCACTGTTTAAAATCATAACTGATTGGTCAAAATGGTGATGCTCCATAGTGGACGTAGAGTACAACCGTGCAATTGGTGAGTCAGCTCTAGAAAATAAATCGAAAACTTATTTCAAAGAAGGATTGCGATAAATTGATGCAAAGAAACCTTTTAATGACTTCAAGAAATGGAAAATTTTAAAGTTTGTTTGTCAATATCTCGGCCTCAACGGTTTGGTCAACGTCACACATACACTCTGCGAATCAGCATATATTCAAACGACATTCATTGTTGTTTACAAAAAACAGTGTGTCTACTTTGTTTGGAAACTGTTGTTTGTCCCACGATGATCAAGGTCATGGCAAAAACAAGCAACCAGAAGCACCAAGATTTCTAAGTCAGAAAACCAGCTCCCCATCTTGCCACTCTGCGGAAATATAAAGATGTCTAGAAACGGATCTCGAGTTGACAAGGCATTACATAATTCTTGCAAAGATGTATAGTTTAGGTCAAGTACTAAGTTTAAAATTTTCAGAAACAACTTTGATAAACCAAAGATAGACCAACCATAAAATAATACCATCGTCGATTAACAAAAAATCTACCAAAAGAGTTTTGATCATGTTACATTTGAAATAATAGGATATTCTATCTTTACAGTAAAACATGATGTAAAAATTATCGAGCAAAATATTTCATTATAAAGTTAATGAACGAGGCAGAAAAAAAGCGAATTTTTTCGTTCTTAGGAACAAGTATCTCAGTATTTTGATAACAAAGAATAAATAGCAAGAATTGCTCTGCTTACCGTAAAAATTGCATACATTGTCTGCGCTACGTTGAAAGCGTGCCTCCAGTTATGATATATTACTGGCCGATAATTTCTTTTTACTGTTAAAACCCATCTACATACTACCTGAAAATGAAATAAAATTGACTCACATCTTAACGGACAATAGACTATCAGAAACTTTTGAAAAAATGATAATCTAATGTAGTAAGAAATTGATAAAGGTAACATTTCCAAAACAAAAATTCTGTATGCAACAAAATGTTGATATCATACAACAAGCCAAACATGGTGGCGCTGCTTTGGATGAAAATGCAGTAGAAGGCAACTAGCTATGTAAGTGCACTGTTGAAATTTGACGTGAAAAAGCACAAACCATCAAGAAGACTGTTAAGGCAAAAAAAACAAAGAATTGTTAAGAATGACAGTAAGACACAACGTAGACGTTTTTCCCTTCGGGCCCTTTGAAGGATATTGTTCATGTAGTCAGGGCCACGGAGAGCACCATTCTCTAAAGCTCTCTGTATTTTTATAGCAGTTCAAAAGTGTATCTTCAGGGAAAAATTCTGCTGAGCTTCCAAATGGAATGCAGTCCCGACAGATAGAAACTTTCAACACCAAATTCTAGGCTTCTACGGCATTTTATGCCAAAAGAATGGCATAAACACTAATAAAAGTTGGCATGCACATTTATTAAGTTATCTTACTTACTTTGTAAGGTATCTTGAACTTGGAAATAATTTCAAGATCCATAAACATTCTTATGGCTGCGAGGCACGTCTCATCGTCGGTCAAATTTAGGTCATCAAGAGAAAATGATGTCAACGCTAATCTGTCTCTCGCTGGAACTTCCATGGCCTTTATTAAGATATATTTCAAATTAATGATTTAAGTTTTACCATTTTCTAAAAAGCCACGTTTAAATAATTCATATTAAATTTTATGATCGTTATTTAAAAAACACAATCTGACTTGTCTAAGTCATTATTTCACACAACTTTGGAGCGCCGTTGGAGTTTCGTTTAAAGTTGGAATCTTACCAACAAAATTCCTAAATCAAAGTTAACACTTTTGGTTTCAACTGAAATTATCTTTGTTGGCGTTTTAATTTTCCCGTTGACTCTTAAAGATGCATGCTATGAGACTTTTTAATATTTGTACCCTTTCATCTCGTATTATTGAACGATAATTCAACTTGGTACTTTGTGTTTCTTGAAACTTCACACAGCATTCGCGATAGACAGTTGACTGTATTCTAGAGAATGGAGAAAAATTCAGATTATAATCTTTAGCCTTTTGATTATTTACCTGGATCCGTTTGGTCTCTTCCAGTGGAGCGCTTGCATGATATGACAACAGCTGCAAGAATAATTTTAATGTATAAGTTAACTTACTAAAAATGTAATAATGATTGGCAGTAATTCCTCTCGTTTGAAATCTTAAGAACTCAAAGTGATAAAAATAGACAACTTTGGGATTTCATGAGGGTCAAAAGTATTACCAACGAAAGAGAGAAAATTGAAATAAAAGAAAAAAGACAAGAAAAATTGTAAAAGTAGCTGCAAACAAAAGAGATTAAATAATATAAATTGTAAAGGGAATTGAACTAAGGACATATTGTGAGGAGTTCAGAAAAGGTAAAAATCTTCTGTTTTGGATGGAACTGCATAACAAAATATGCATATTGTAGCTTCATTAAAAGTATTGAAGATTTAAAAAGCTTAAAAATGTCACAGACATTATTGGCTATAATTCAAAACCTAAAGCCCTAAGCAGGCATGCGAGCTAGCAGATTACCAAAAACAAAAAAGTACTGTTTATATCAATGAAATATCAATATCAAATTGCAAAATTTCTAATTTTTGAATCTACTTCATGGAATTACTTCTGTACGTTAATAATTACATGAACAATTTAAATTGCTAACTAACGAGGACTTGCATTAGATTAGATTTGTAATTAACTGTTATTTAAGGAAGCAGGGGAAAAACACAATCGTATTGCTTACCTCTATTGCTAGACTCTGTTTAGTTAGCAGATGAAATACTTTTTCATACATCTGGGTGTTAAAGATGCCCAGTCCACAAAAAATAGCAAATGCCTGTGCACAGTGAGAAATTGCATATCAAATGTACAGTAAAAGCAAACAAAGTACGACAAACAAGTTAAAAAAGAAACATGATATTATGAAGAGATTACTGCTTGAAAATGGCTTTGAAAAAAGCAAACATTTAGTAAACTAAAGCTTTTCGTCTGACACTCTTCAGAGTTTAAAACGTCAGAACATAGACCGAAAAGTTTTCTTTGCTTTTTTCAAAGCCATTTTCAAGTTTTGTACCAACAATAGATTGTTGCTATTAGTCCATATCTTTTGATTGAAAACCATGATGCAGGAAGGAAATAAGCGGTAACGAAACGAATGTACAGTTGTCGTTTTATTGAATTCAAAATTTTACATAGCACAGTAGGATAAAAAAGTGATGCTTTTTACCGACGAAAAACACGATATTCGTTGAGAACAGGTACCAGAGACTTGATATCGACTTATATGATTCGAACATACCGCCAAAGTATTTGATTTTAGTTTACTTAAATACATTCAGCATTTCAATATAGTTTTAAAGACATCTTCTATAGGCTCTGTTCTTGAAATTACGATTTAGAGTCTGATTTCAAAGTTTCATAGCTAGATTAATTTTGTTTCAGACTTTCAGTCGCTACATTTTTTTCCAAACTCCGAACTTTTGTTGACTTTTATAACGTTCTATTTTTTTAAATTTCAACAAATCTCATTGGAATTAAGAGAAAATCAAACATTTCTTGGAGGACAAAAAGCTCTTTCTTAATAACTGAAAACCAAATCTGTGCTCCATAAAGTTAGCCAGTGGCGGGCAAGGAGGAAAAAGATAACAACAGCCTTAAATAGACAATAATTTAGTGGAAATTTCTGCTAGTCTGCTTTCCAGAGAAATTCAAATAGGTCTTAGATATGCAAGAATATTATCACCTAGTAAAAGTTTGTCAAAGGGATTGTTATCCTCTAATTAGTTATCTTCCAACTGAGACCCCGTTGATACTGTGCTAGATAAATTTTATCAGCATCAAAATTAGTTCAGATGGGCGTCGCGTTTTACACTAGACCCACGCTATCCGCACGAATTTTAGAGCGGCTATCCGAACAAAATTAGTTGACCTAGGAATATGGATTAATTTAGTTTGAATAGCTATAAGGTACAGTGTAAACGCTTTTATCCGGATAAGTTTATCCACATCGTATCCTGCTCTTGTCGATCCAGTAAACTTTGAAATAATTATATAACCTTAATCTGCCTGACAAGATTGAATCCCTTTTTATGGTAGATGTAAGATTTCGTCACGTTCAATCAGCACAGACCCTTCGCTTAACAAATACTTTCAAACTGACTTTTTTTGGAGCGATAGCTGACCAGAAAGAAGCTGTAAGAACATTTAATGTACCATTCAACATTCTAAGAAAATTTTTAAAATTTTTTCAGGGTTGTAAAAAGTAAGATCCACCTGAAATAAGCCATCATCATTGTCGGTAAATGGGTGTCCATTTTGTTTATTCATCAACTGAGCCACACCTAGAAAAATCAAGCAACAATTATGGCACCAGAGGGTATGTTAAAACTTGCAGTAGATTATTTTTACTAAATTATTCGAAATGTTTGGACAGAGAGACATAACAGAGATCAAACAACATTCAAGTTAAAACCGATACTTCAATGCGTGTTTCTATGTATAAAAGATTCAAAAGTTGGTATTTCCTTTGAAACAACGTCATTTCACAAGACAGTTATCCTTCTCTCAAAATAGGGCATAAATTCATTTTGTTTTTTCAGTATGCATGACCTCTCGTAAGCCAGCATTGTTGAATGGGCTACAATGCTTAAATATATGATGTTATGATTTGATAAGATACTTTTTCAAAAGATAGGCTAAAGGAACAGCTTGGATTGAGAATTTGAGATTAAAGTCAGTAAATATTCATTTTACTTATTTGCAACTCCTGGCCGGTAAAATTATCGTTAGTATATACAAATTTACTTATAAGAATATTGCCGGCAAGAAATTGTTAATTATCAGTTACCAATCACTTTGTTTTCCTTATTGAAAATCGGAGTGCATAGCATTGATCTGATGTTTTTTGAAGAACATGTTTCATTGTCCTGAAATTGAAAAAAGGGAGCTCTAGAAGTGTACTTATACGATTGCATAAGAGTATGCATTTAGATGGATTGCTAAGTGTTTGACAAGTAACTGCAAAAATATCTTTTGAACCAAGGTAGAAAAGAAGCCAAAAATAATGCAGAGTCCAGAAAACATGGCGGTTCCTCAGCTGTGAGCCGGAGGAAGATTATCCAGCGATGCAGTAGTTTTGAGAAAGGCCAATGCAACTTCAATTCCAGTTCAAAGAAACGTTTTTACAAAAGATACAAGGAAAAATTAGAGGAAAGCAAATAGGGCAGAATTTCATCCGGAGGAAGTTTGAAGCATTTTCTGAACTCTTAAATAATGCTTTTAAAAAGTAAGGGAAATGGATAGTTTGGAACAAAAAGACTGATCATTTCTTGGAAAACACAGTCAATGCTCAATTAGGTTTTAAGGTGAAGATGTTCGAAATTCTGCAAATGATTTAGCGCCTCTACGTGTCAGGACACAAAAATGTTGTTAAAATGTCTTTACTTACTTGCACATGTCTCCTAAAATTTGTCAAATTTATGAATAATTTAAACATCTATTCTATAAAAGCAGGCATGTACGCAATCGGCTTCTGCAACAAAAAGAAAGAAAGACTGATTCGTACGAGGTCTATCTTGAATTCTCCAGCTGTTGATTCCATATCTGTGATGTTCATCGCCTGTTGAAAACAAGCGATAGTGATCTGACTAGAAGAATAGTTACCGATTACAAGAAAAAATTTAGGCCACATGTAGACACAAACGTCTTTTAAGGAAATGCGCTACAGGACACTCGTCTTTGAAAATGCAGGATTCAAATTTGGGTTACAAACAACTAGTTTTCTGCTAGAAATGTCGACAGTTAACTCTACTAATTTACTTGCGGAGATATTTCAAACTTCTTAAAACAATTAACAATTGGATGGAAGATCAAAATAAGATTGGTGCCTTAAAAGCAAAATATTGAAATTTTGGGCAACAAGCAAATACTTTTCAAGAAAAACTAAATACACAGTGAAACAAGCTCCAAGACTTTTGTACTTTTTTAGAAACAGACACAAAAAAATCTCCATTTACTTGCTTGATGTAGCTTCTCAAGCAAATTCTAAAAAAAGAGGCGCATTTTTATGCTGTGAAAGTCTGTAGAGATTTCTTCAAAATGTGCTCGGTCTTGTTGAAAGATTTTTCATCAACTAGTTTACATCAGAAGGTTATCCTTTAACAAGAAACAGCTTCTTTTTAGCTGACTTGGCTTTTCACTTTATGAGCTAGGCGATAAAAATGTAATTAATAACACATTAATAACACATTAATGTATTATTAATAACATATTAACATATTAATAACATATTAATCAGGTATTATCTTGATCCCAATGCAAAGCAAATAGAAAAAATGTAAACGGTTTGGAAAAAGAGCTCACTTTATCGGACATGATAATTTGAACTTAGGTGTAAAAGTTGATATCCCTGAGAACATTCGAATGGAAAACACAAAGGGAAATTCTCTTTGATCATCAATACCTCTCGAGAGTTCACCACATGCATAGCTAAGCCTTGATACACGCTGTTCAAGCTAGAAATAAAAACCAATATATGTTCAGTGTATGTTAACACATATGGTAGATATTTGAAACAACCATTCACAAGGGTCACTACGCTTTACTTTGTAACTTGTCTGGGATATTTTAAATATGTTTTTAACAGTGAGCAATGTAAAACGATCTTCTTGAAAATTAATCGATTTTGACATTGATATGCGACAAAAACAAACCTTTCAACTTTAGTTTCGCTCCCTTCAGTTGAACTGAGATTGAATATTTGACCAAAGACAATACCCTGTCAATCAGGAATGTTAGTGAAATTCAAGATTCATTTGTTAGTTAGGTCAAGACAAACATTTTGCATTGTGGCCGATAACGGCCAAGTTGAGGTTTTTTAGGAATAAGAGAAGTGAACCTTTGAAGTGAATGTCAGGCTTATGAGGACTAGATCTAGAGCATTCACCAATAGAACGGGATCTTGAAGAGTCACAAGAACACCGCATTTGCGAAGCAGTTACGAGATTTTAAGGGAAATTTGCTCTGAGGGACTTCTACGTTAGATACTAACGTCATATTCTGGCAATGTTAGAGGGCAAGAATCTACGAAACAAAGTTCAAGAATTAGACTGGATTTGTCTGATGATCAAAATATGGCCACCGGGGATCAGATATCAAAGACTTTATGAATCGTTGAAAATTACATATAGAATCCTACGAAATACTATGAAAAAAACCACATTAGCCTAGTAACTCTCATTCACATAGATCTAGAATTTAACACAAGCATTACAATATATATGACACAAGCCAAAAAGTCTTTCCCGCCAACCTCGTTTTCAGCAGCCTCGGTATCCACGAGATAGACAGTACAGCGCTCACAGTTGAGAAGTTCCAGTGCTTGTGTCATGATTCTTTTGACCACATCCGTCACAACCTCTGTTGTTTCAAAAATATTTTTTGCCAAGGTGACGAGGGCCTAAACGCCATAACTTTGATTAATATTTTATATCATATAGCAACAGAATATTTTTACATAACTGGATCCAGAATTATTGTAAATAAATTTGGAACAAACGATTAAAAACATGGCACCTCTCAGACTCCTGGTAATAGCAGAATTCTTGTCGAATAGACTGATCCAAGTCTTTAGATTCACAAAGGACTTTAGGTTAGAAACTAATTGAGATTTTTTAGCTAACTTGAGGGAACTAAGTTAAGCAACGGTAATAGCAGAATTCTCGTTGAATAGACTGATCCAAGTCTTTAGATTCACAAAGGACTTTAGGTTAGAAACTAATTGAGATTTTTTAGCTAGCTTGAAAGAACTAAGTTAAATAAGGGTTTTGTGAAACCGTTTACATGTTTTATACAGATGTTTATGATTATGTTTCGATTAACCTTTTAGCAATAAGGCTCAAAAGATGTTTCATTAACAATCTTAAATCCACAAGAAACAAACCTGATTTCGTTTGAATTCCTCTACTGATAATTCAAAAAGTTGTGCATTAGTAATTCCAATGCCACAAAATGTCAAGTAATCACGAAATACCTGGAGAAAAAGTAGATGTGATAATGAAGAAACTCAAAGCTTTATTATGCAAGGATCTTTACAATTTAGTAATCAATTTATTTGCAAGATATGAAGAAGAAAAGGTTTAAGGACATTTCATAGAAAAAAGCAATTTATTATGAAATGAGATAAATCGCATCTCATGGAGATAAGACCCCCTTTACACTGTCCCGTGCAAGTTTGGAACCGTGACAAAAACTGTCACGGTTCGCCCTTCCGTTTACACTAGCACTGTGGAACCGAGACGATTTTGCTCTGCTATCTGGAACAATTTTGACCCTTCTTTGAAAGCGAACGAATTTTGTACCGTCACGGTTCCGTTTTTAAACGGGACAGTGCAAACACCTATCCGAGACGACTTTGTCACGGATTCACAAAGAGGTTTTTTGTATGACTGTTTCAGGTAATCGAGTTTTTGATTGTGGCGTAACTATGTTGTTAAGTTCTGAAGAGAAGACGATGACAGAAAAGGCTTGTATTTTTTCCCAGTCCAAGCCTTGATTGGACTTAACAGTTATGTGATCTAAAGTAACACTGAAAATTAAAGCCACCTCGACATCCGTCCAAGTAAAGTTATTATCAGCCTTCCGCTCCATTTTAGCTCTCAATGAAGTTTCGATTGTTGACTTCGGCGGCAAAATAAAAGCCTCAGTTGACTAAATACAGCTTCTTTTAAACAATGTTCTACCATTAAATTAAGGTCGTACCGGTACAGTGTAAACGGAACGGCTAAACAGAACAATTTGGAACCGCGACAATGTAAACACTTGCGAACCGTAACGGTACAAAATTGCCCCGGGTCAGTGTAAACGGGGTCTAAGGGTGTGGCCAAAGAAGTTTTCCAGAGGCTTTGACCCCGGCCTCTCTTGCCCCGCTTTTTGTTGGCTGATGCCGCCTCTAACTGGATTCGTGAAAAGCCAATGAGAATAAATAAATGCGATTTCCAGTCAACTCTAAGTCAACGATAATAAATCAAGCGCTTCAATAATTTTCAATCAAACTGTATAAATATTTAACTGATCCTTTTTCTAAGGGAATAAAAACCAAATTCACTAGCATTTAAATGTTTCCGTCGTACTTTTGACATTTGTAAGCAAATGCATAACATTGGTTACGTTTGATATATATTCATAAAACTAAAAAATTGAGGCCACACCCTTTTTACCACAAGAAAACGCCCTTTTCCCAATTAGGAACGCCAATTATTAACTTTAAGTTACGTTAATCAAAGTGTAATCCTGGTGTGGTGTAATCCTTTGAAAATCAAAGGATTACACCACAAGAAGTACGTTGTCAGCATTCTCAAATGTTCTAAAAATATTTGAATCTGTCAAGAAATTGAAATCCTAATATATGTCTAAAAAGATCCATTAAATTATTTCATAAACAGCAAAAGTTGAAACAAATTAGATGTCTAGAAACCCAGACAGCATTTCTTTTTTGAGCCTTCACTGCTCCTCTGATGCTTTGAATTATGTTAATAAATTTGCCATCAATACCTAGTTCTTGCTCAAATAAATAAATTCTGCGGTGCCTTCTCTGATTTATTTCCACAAAATAGAAGAATCTATTCAAAACAACCCGCTACAAAACTAAACTGGAGGCCTATTTTGTCAGTTTGGCTCAATAAAAAATGACAAGGAAATGGCAAAGAAAAAATATACGGCGGTATCTAAATTAATGACAATATAGCTTTAGTCGTCGGCTTTCATGTGAGAGCAAATTCAATGAAATTTGCTTAAAAACAAAATCTTGGGCTAAAGTTTGAAGGTTTCCAGGAAACACAACAGCTTTCATTATTTCAATTTATGTATTGAGACGATTATTTTGAAAGAGGATTAAACAGTAACAGCAAATAGAAGGAAGGTTAAGTACTCAAAAGAACCCTGACAATGGTTTTAGCAGTATCTAATTTATACATAATCAATGGATAGCAGCGACTGATCTGCGTCTGTCGTGCTTCCCTAGTACATAAAACGCTAAATGTTTTTTAAATGTAGGAGGGCGAGGAGCGTTCTCTTTGGTTTGTTCCCTGAGGCCTTACTTTTGAATCTGAAAAGTAGCTTTAAGAAAGTAGGGGTTGAATCCAGACTGCTTCTAGTGCAAAGCTGATAATGATGGGTGTTAGAAACCTCTAGAAACCTCTTTTTCTAGCATGGAGGATTGGCAGAAGGGCGGTAGTATAGTCAGCGTAGAGCGTTATGATGTTTCACTGAGCGGCATTGAGAATGCCAATGATTAAATTTTGGGTAGGCGGTTTGGGAATTGTTTAGGCAGTTTTAAAATCATAGGATCATATCACAAAGAATACATTGCCAAAATATTTCCCCTTCCACAACATATTTGCATCGACTTTAGGCGTAATTCAGAATTGATCCCGCTGGAAGGAGGGGGGAGGAGGGATTGATATTTCCCCTTTGTCCCCCGTGATGTAAGCATTGGTCATCTTAATGACTGCTTCCCACACCCTCTTGTCACCAGTTTTGATTTTCAAAACTTAACGTATCTATGACCCCAAGTTTATTGTTAAATTTCATGGTTGTCGAGATGGGAGGGGCTTTTAATTCGCAAAGATGCTCCAAGTCAAAGGGTATCTTACAAAGGCTTTCGTACACCTTCATAAATCATACTTGTGGAAGTGCATATAGGTAACATTGAAATTCTTGAATATTGAAAGCTATGCAGGTATACCTCCTCATCTTTCTCGGTAAACTGGTGACCACCACTTCGTTTGTTTATAATCTGCGCTATGCCAATAACCTAAAAGATTTGAAGGGGTTGTTTATGCCAGCTGCTTATAGATGAAATGGCCAAGCAAAAAGAAAGATAGAGATTTTTGAAGAAAATTCAAAATCTTTCCTTTTTAAAGATAAAATAAAATAACACAATGAAAGTCTTTTTAAATTCTGTAGGTTTTTACTTCCTCCTAAAAACATTTGGTATTATGGTCAGAGGTACTTATTCATGCAGCAACAGAAAACATTTAGCGTGGAAATGAATTATACATCAGATGTAAATCAATAATAAATAATTTAAAAACAACATTGGGTGGAATTAGTTGCTAAATCCTATTTCAAGAAATGCAAGAAAATAGAATATTCAATTTTTCACTTCTTACCATTCCATCTGGACTTTTTATTGGCATACAAAGAATGCTGTGAGTTGTATAACCAGTTTGTTTGTCAATTTTTCTATTGAATCTTGGGTCCTTGAAGTTGAAAACGTACATCAGCAACAAAAAAGTAAAAGCTTCTTAAAAGCAACAAATGAATATCATTATTGCCAGCATTAGTTTAGTTTACGTAATCTCAGAAATAACATTTTTTGACTTTGTCATTTATTCTAACTGAAATAATATTTCATCTAGATTACTCTGCATTACCAAAAGTAGACGATGGCCCATCAGTTCTTCCCCTTTCACTTCTAAAAATAATGGGAGGGTCGTTTTGATTATCGAGGGCAATAGAAAAAGAAGGTTAATGATTTATACAGCTTTTTGCGTACTTTTTGTTAGAATTTACTACATCGAAGAAAATGAACTTAAAGTTTTAATTTTCTTTGACTAAATCAAATACATTGTATACATACTTCAAATAATGCACCTAGCCAAATTCTTAAAATTTGTGAAATACTTCTGTATATTTAGGTGAGTTGGTCACTTTGAACAAAAGAGGCTACTTGTACATTTTGCCTGAGAAAACCATACGAAGAAGGCAATCACCTACCAGGTTTGGCTCAAGCATTTAAAGACAAGGGAAGCAAATGATGATATCTACAGAGTTTTATGAACTTAAATGCTCGAATGCACCTTTCCATTAGGGGTAATGGAGTTTATTTCCAAAATCTATACGGCAGTTCAAAGATTAAATACACTTATATACTGAACTTTTTTAGCACATACATATCAAGAAAACTCTACTCCCAAGAAATATAGATGCTAGGATTCATCAAATCCTTCCTTTTTTGGCCTTCGATTCCTGGTATTGATCGAAGATAAAGCAAACTGGAAGATGGTATTTGTTACTTGAGTTTCTTTTAGACTAAGATGAACAGTTTTTTGGCGGCACAGAACTGGAAAATGGCTTTGAAAGAAGCAAACATTTTATATCATACTGGCTAAAAGCTTTTTCTTCCGACACTCCTCAGAGCATTGCGTTTTTCTGATTGGACTATTTCGATCCACAACTGGGTATATATTTTTCATCGTGTTCTTTCGGAACCTTATTCTGACGTTTTATGCTCTGAGGAGTGTCAGACGAAAAAGCTTTTATCGATATAATATGATATAAAATGTTTGATTTTTGAAAACTTTAGACTAAGGTATTCAATGACGTCAGAATCGTTCTTTGTGGAGAATCAGTTTCAAACAGCAAATTCACTTGAATTTTATGTAAATAAATGTAAGCTATCAATTCCTACCCATTAAACAAGGCTTCTTTGGTTAACTAAATTCGCAGTTAAGTCGTTAATCCTTGCTCGTATCTCTCGAGTTACACAAAGGTTTATGAATGTGAATTGTATGGTGCACGGTTGTTTGTTGTTGTATTATAAATTTCAAAAGGACTTTCAAAAGATATGTTTTCAAGCGGAAAAAGTAGATTTCTGGGCTGCAATGATATTGAATGAAATTACTTTTTTGCATTTGAAAGAATGAATCATTCTACTAGATAATATCTAAATTGAACTTGCCTTGTACACCTGCAATTGTTGAGTACTAAATAGATTGAAATTCTAAATATTGACAAAACATATGAAACCTCATAAGCCTCTTTGATATTGATGCATTCGCCAGTCAGTGCTGTTGTTCCCGCAATTCCAACTCCGATTGGTATAATTATTTCTTTTCCTTCGGGTCGCAAAGACTCCTCCAGCGTCGAAGTCGAGGTGACATCGAACAATCTTGACACTAGATACCTTTTGCTCGATTCTCCTTTAACGAGAAATAACGAGCACCTGTCTCCATTTGTGAGCAGGCTAACATTAACAAGAATCTTGTGTGAGAGTTTGTTGATATCGAGTTCGTTGGCAATATCTCGTATCAACTGCATAAAAAGATCTTTCTCGCTTAGCGACTCAGTTCCTTCATGCTCATTTTTGGATTCTCCACTATCCTGTTGATAATGGCCATCCACTACCTCTTCAGTTTCTGAATCCGAGTCAGTCCCACCTGATCCGTACAATCGAACAAGATTCGATCGGTTTGTAGGTGATTTAGATAAGGGATAAACATTTCGTAAGGGTCGTAGAATGCTATCCGCAGAAGAAGTTGAAAGTTTTTGTAGATTTGTCACTGGCTGGATTGATGGGCGATGAGATCGTCTCCCTAGCCACTCGTCCACCCAGCTTGACCGTGCATTTTGAACAAAGTATTTTTTTGCAAACTCAGGATTTTCGTCTAAGTATTTTTCGAGATCAACTTCGTCGATATTGTCTTGGGTCATATTGCAGATAAATAGGTACCATCTATCGCCCTTTGAATACTTTGATATACATCGGTTTGATACAAGTCTGAGGCAATGCAAAACTTCAGATGGAATCCATTTTCATAGTATCACTTCGGCGTCTCAGAGTCAATAAAGTGTAGTTGGTGTATAACGAGACTGCAACAGAGTGTCAAATACACCTGCAAGGCCAGTTCTTTTCGAGAAATGAGATTGAACAGATATAATTTTTTTGTCGACGGAGAGTCTTAACTCGATCAAGACTTGTTCATTTGATCGCCAAATCTTGAAAGCTTCAAATGTAGAAATGTGGTTTCACTACGACTGACGTGTTTGTTTGATCAAGAGCTCTCTTTAACGCCGCAAAAGAATCCCTGCAAGACGTATCCAGGGTGATAATATTGACACTTCTTTCATACACAAAACATACCGTTTGCTCGACTGTTATCATACAACGTAGAATCCGCACAGGCAGGTGACTTGCCTTTAACATGCTGCGCTTGTACTGAGATTCGTTACCGGGAGACGAATATCGAAGGCAAATGGCCGTCTCTATTCAAGTATAGAACGATGTTTTGGCTTTCTAAGCAGCAAGAAGAAAAAAGAAGCAGTCACGCGATTCGAATGGATGTAAATAAAACAACGAAATACGGCACAAAACAATGATTGGAGTGTGCTGCTTTTGAAATTCTTTTTGGATATTTAACTAGATTAGATTAAACCGAAGCTCCACAGACAAACTAAACTAGATGAGAGGCAAATAAACAACAATAAAAAGTAGCTTGATAACAAATGAATTTTTCAATAACAATGATTTGCTTTAGTATGAACTAGAAAAATTAACGACATACAGTAAAAATGCACACCGCTAATGAGTTTATTTAAAAAGTCACAGAAAATGTACATAAAATTTAAGTAAATTAAGGTAAAAGAGTTAAAAAGCGCAAATACGATTCCAAGGCTTGCTGGTAAAAATCTACTTTAAAGCTGATTCGAGGATAAAGGTCTGATGTAACAGAACAAAAGGCCTGGTGATCAAAACTTTAAAAAAAATTTAGCTAGATTGCAAGAATAAACTTTCCTTCAAGATGTAATTGTGAAAACTGTTTCAGTTATGAACTAAAAAGGTAGCATCACCAAAATTTATGTGCTTTACTGACGTCCTACGCACCACCAGCAGCCACCCTATAGCTAAACCATCTTTTTTACTCTAAATCTGTTCATTTGATTCTCAATACCAGCTGGATAAAGAATTAAAAAGTTTTTACTTGAAGCGTAATGTCACTACAACGAGTTCAGCTCACAGTAGACAAGTTACCAGCAAAGACGTCAATGCTCTTGCCCATTCGTATCGTTATCTCACTATTCAAAGTAAGCTTATTCAAAGTAAGCTTATTCAAAGTAAGATACTTACTCAAAAATGTAACTAAATAGTCCTAATGTATTCACTTCTATCAAAACCCAGAATTCATTAAAAAATACTTACAGATGCAAAAAAAATTTCACTAGGGTAAAATGACCTTGTCAATGACATGAAGAACACCATTATTAGTCATGATGTCTCCAATTAATATTTTGCTGTCTGAATTGATAGTTACTTTGCCTGATGCATTCTTTAATATGCGCAATAATTTGCCGTCCATTGGTCGCAATCCATACTCAACACCAGACTGCAAATTGGTGGTTAGCAAGAGCCCTTTGTGGGTATGCTGAAGAATAAAGCGTTTCAGCTTATTGGGGTTGAGGAGCAAAGAATTCTTCATTTCAGTCGGAAGCGCATCGAATGCAGCATTGCTCGGAGCGAAAATGGTGACTTGCTGGCCACCTTCAAAATATGATCTCAAGCATGATCTGCATAAATACTTATCGAAGGTTTGTAGCTGTGGGATTGCCTTGACGAGATCATAGAACGGCCTTTTGTCAACGAGCAAAAGACCATTTATGACATGTATAACACTGTCTCCTGCAGCATGGTCGCCCGATACGACAACGGCTGTATCAAAACTCTTGACCTGGAAAGAGAAAAGGATAAACAATTTTTAGGAATCATTGCTTCCACAGAATTAACAATAGAAGATTTTGAAAAACGTGAGATAAAAATCAATCTTAAAAAAATCATTATTACTTTTTATTTCTTCACAGGAACCAAAATACTTTGCCGCCCCCATAAAAGGACATATAAAATCCTGTTAACATTTCTGCATATGGTGGACATAAAGGGTTATGTCAGTTCTATTGTCACTAATTAACGATAATCAATAAATTCTTGTCAATTTGAAGCAAAATCTAAATCTTTTCTTTAATGTTATACAAACTATGGCAACATAATGGATGAGTTGTAGTATGACGTCATGGCATTCCAACCATTTGAAGAAAAACTTTATTGCAAGTGGCATGAAATTCAATTCCTATGTCAACTGCTAATACCTCAGCTAAGTCAATGTTCTGAACACTAAACTTTGGAAAATGAGACTGACGCAATACTTCTAAAAGGCCCTTTAGGCTTGATTACAGCAAATTTTTTCGGGGGAACACTCTTTAAAACGCATGATAATGTTCTTATGCGGCAAAACCAGTTATCTGAAATTTTAGCAACGGTTTCATACATAATTATCAATGGTAGTTACTCTAACTTAAGCGAAAACGTAAAAGAGAGTTTTCTTAGCTGCACTGCACACACTAAAAGAAAACGAGTTCTTTAGATTCAACTGTAAGAAAGCGCTTCAAAACAGGGTCTATTTAATGCTTTAGAGTAGAATATACACTTTTTTCCGTTTTCTTTGTTTGTGTGTGCTATGAATTGAAACCCCTGGAGAAAAAGCTAAATCCTAGCTTTAGAAGAGAATTCCCCGAACGAAATAAGCAGAAAATCTGGCAAACACGCCCCTGTAGATTAAACAAATTACAGAATGATTTCCTGCGGTCATTTTCTTGCATTCGCCTAAAACATTTAACTGTTCTGTAGGGATGCATGGGCCCTGTTAGTGCCACAGAAAACCACAGACGAGTTCCGCCATCGTTTGCAGCCTCCGTCTTATTTCACTTAGTCCTTGGTTTCAAAGGTGTATGACGTCATGTAGGTTAGCTGACTATGATCTAGTGCCGACCGGGTACCAGACTCACTCTATATAAAATAAGAGAGAGTGTGGTTCAGCGCGCCCTTCTTCTCGTTCTGGTATGCCGATATTTACTAATCGGGAGCAAATGTACAGATTTCTGTACGTTCCAAGGTCACAGCGAAACAATAAACGTACTTCTGGTGAAAAATATTGAACAGAACACAACATAAATTAATGCTGGCGACCGTAACGATTGAGTTTGAAGAAGCTGTTGAACTGTACTCAAAGATGACACAGAACAGTTAACAGCATTGAAAGCATTGTCTATAGAGAGGAGGGATACCTTCGCCATATTGCCAACTGGCTTCACAAAGTCTCTGATATTTCAGGCAGTGCCGATCATTGCAAAGAAACTAGGCCTTGTAGCGAAATGTAGTAAAAAAGGAACAGGAACACCGCAAGGTACCGAGAACAAACAACAAAAAAGACACGTAAATCAGTTATAGCTAAAATTTCGCCCCGGCATACGGGGTTTCACTTGTCGTATGGGCCATATTTCCTGTGATGAACTTCCAACGTGCTGATGCCGCGGTGTCCAAGGGTGCTACCTTCACAGTGAGAAAGTGGACTTTAAAAGTACACATAATTTATAAAGAAAATTAAAAAAACTTATTTTGAGTTTTGTATGAAATTTATTAATCATTTACATTTTATAACTGCATTGTGCTAAAATTAATTTCATGCTCTGCACATGTTTTTGTTGCCAAATAGGTGAATTTTGGGGCGGGACTCTTTAGAAATCTTTGCTGACCATGTAATATTTAGAAAGCAAGCACAGCAATCCATTTATGATTTTTGATATCAAGATCGATATCTCATCAGGCAATTGGTGATACAAGAGGTCGACGATTACACTTTTGACAAGTCGTTCATGATAACATCATGACTGTGGCTGTAACGTTCATTTTCTGCATTTTACCTTGTTTTCTTCAGTTTATTTTCTTCAGTTCATTTCAGTGCATTTTATCTTGTTTCTTTTATTGTAACGTTCATTTTCTGCATTTTATACGTTTGAAAATAACTTTTGTTTAGAAGATAACTTTACAGAATTGAAATTAAATGTACAGTTCGCAAGCAGTTTTGATTTTTGTCATTCATTTTGTTTTGTTTGATTACTTAGTACAAAAAAATGATTATAACTTATCAGCTATGTTCAAATTTTGCAAAAAGGGTACAGAGTTGTTGTAGAGGTCCCTGGGGTAGAAAGGGAAACCGCCGATCACCTGGGAGCAAAGCAAGCAGAAAATTTGGCAAACACGCCCCTTAGATCAGTCTAGGTCACGCCCTTTGTATTGTCAGGAAACACCATTTTACCAACAAGGAAAGCTCATTTTACCAATCGTGAACGCCCCGGGCTAAACTTTGGTTACAAAAAGGAAGATTCAAAATCAAAGAGCTACGTCACGTTTCCAAAATATTTCCATTTTCCCAACATTTTCTCATCGAATTTAGACAAAATCGCTTCTTCCACCCGTGGCGCCGCTACCGACTCGTATACCCGTTGACCAACGTATTAAGTTAACCGGAAATGGATATGGATGGAGATGACATTTAATACTTTTAAGGCACAATTTGTCTTTCCCAAATGATGCCCACAAAAAACAGCTCTAACAATACTCCTACTCTAAACAAGCAAACCTTGAATAAATTTTAAATGGGAAGGAGCTTTCATCTCACCTTTCCGAGTTGAAAGAACGTCACTGGCTTATTGTTAAGTGTATTCAAAACTTCTTGATCTTTCAGCGTCTTCAACTTTTGGTTTCCTTTGAGAAAATGATGGCGAATAACTCTTCTCAAGAAGCATTGATCCTTAAGTCGGTCTTTTGTTTCGGTGTTCAATTTGACAAACACATCATTTGTTGGCAATAGCAGTGTCAATTGCTCATCCTTTTGCAAAATTTCATCCGCCATGTCGAGTGCGTATATCAGATTTATAAAACTCGTGGCATTCAAAGCCAAAGCTTTCCCCAACAAACCAGTTTGTCCTAGAAAGATAGAAAGAAACTACAAACCAGTTTGTCCTAGAGAGATAGAACATAACTACAAACCAGTTTGTCCTAGAAAGATAGAAAGAAACTATTTCCTATAAATCTGAAGAAGAAGAAAAATTTAAGCTGGAGCCTTGGTCCACATTTTTGGTTTTATATTTTTCGTTTCATTTCCCAAAAACTACTACTTTTGCTACGATGAGTGTTGTCACGGGGAGAGGTTTCGGCTGGGATTAACTTCAAGAAAGAGTTGAGCGCAGGAGTCAAAAGACTGCAGAAAAGGGGCTGGGGGAGAAAAGCTACGGGAATATGCAAGAAAGTGAACAGAACAATGAATGTTTAAGATTATTTTTAAGGGAACATCTATTTGTTGTTTATCGTTAAGTATATAGCAAAAGTATTGAAAATATTTGCTTGCTAACTTGCAATGTTACAAACTCTACTTAGGTCATAAAAAGCTGATTTAAATAGAAAATTCAGTAAAATGTTATCTTGCCAATATAGGCTGTAATATTATTAAGTGCTAAAAATTTAAATTAGCAGCAATCACGATATGTTAAGGCCGGTTTTCAATTGATTCGCACTGGTCGCGCTATTGAGGGAAAGCACTTTTGGGCATGCGCAAGACTCAACTTCCTTTATCGCTGCGAATGCGCGACCATTCGCCAAGTAGTTCAACTCAGTTAAACTACTTGGCAACTGGGCAACTGGTCGCATTTGTCGATTCGCTGATTTGTAAATTCGTTTTGGCCAAAATTGCGCGCCCAGAGCCCCGGGGTCTTACTTAGTTTTTCTGTCCTAGAGAGGGGCTTAAAAAGAGGAGGGCCTATTAGAGAGAGAGGCTTATTAATAATTCAATGCAAAAAATGTTATGAAACTGCCTTATGCATATTATGTTTTGAAAATGCCATACAAATGGTCTCAACAACATTGCAAGCAGCTTCGAAAGTTTCTTAAAATCAATCAATTGTACTATCCTCATCTCCCTCAGGGTCACCAGGATCAATTGATAAAACCTGAGACATGTTCTAAACCAATTTTGACTCACCTTTTTGGCGCACAAGTAAATCTTTTCATGGGCCGTATTTAGTGCACATGATCTTACCGTCATCACACCCGTCAAGAGACCGACTAAATGCGCATCTTTTCTTTGATTGACAGCGAAGGCTAACAAAGGGGGGCTTAATATAGAGGGGGTTAAAAGAGAAGGGGGCTTAATAGAGCTTTTACGGTAAGTGGAAACCGGACTTTAGACCTGCTTTTAACTCAAATGTAGATTTAAGGAGCAATTGTAGACGACGTCTTACCGCACAAATAATCGGCAGATAAACGTCAATGTAAACATTACTTAAAATGTAAGCATAACGCACCTTGTGTTTTCCCATTAAATGCCAGATCTAATGCATTTTCCGCTTTCTTGGTTATACTGCACATCTGCGTTTCCTGCTTTGGAGCAGAAATTTGGTCCCAGAGTTTGTTTATCTTTGATAATGTCTTCAACAGGCTCTGCGTGTGAAATTTCTATCAAATATCATGACAGGTTGTGGATTTTGAAAACAACTTTTGGAAATGAGTGCATTTGCAAATAAAGCTCGACTTAATGAAATTTAACCACGTTTAATATGTGACAGGGTACACAGTTTAGGTGCCCCTTGGGCTTTTGTTTTGGACACAGATTGCACGATTATGGAGTTTGTGTTTATTGTAGCAGTGCTCAAGTATGCATTACATTGTGTTTTTTATACGGCTAAAGCAACAAGCGTGCAAGTGTGCATTGGCCTTGTGTATATAAACTTTGTCTTGGTATAGTTTTACTCTCACACGCTACAAGATAACCTGAAGTTAGACGTAAGGAGGAAAAGGTTTTTCCTTTGCGACCCTGCCCACCCTACCCATATCTAGGTATTTTCAGGTGTTTGCAGGCATGTTAAATTTATCTTTCTTTTCTTCGTACATTAGTTAATGGCCGTATGGCATGCAAATTTTGCATGAACAAGGTGTTGCTAGTCGGCGGAAGAAGGCCATTGTTCTTCTTCTCAACCCCCTGAAAAATGGTTGGGTTTCTATTTATGGCCGTCTTTGCGATTGGCGCACCGACAGCCCAAAAATAAATGGTCCAAATGATGAGAGAACGCCACCTTCAGTCTTATGATTGATAATTGGTAAAATATTCTGAGGACCATCTTACTCTTATTTGCTAACGGTTCTTTTGGTAACCTGGAACAAATATTTATTTGCATTTAACGGAGACCATAATTGAATATCAACCACTACTGTGGAAGGTGGGTGAAAATTTGATAGCACTGAATATTTACATCAAAATAATAATGCCTCTTTTGACATTCTTTATCTAGAAAACTATTCTCTGGAATACTTTGAAGAGAAAAGAAAATATAACCTTGTGTAAGAATAAAAAACAAACATTCATAAAACTGGTGGATTAAAAGCTGAAATCTTACCTTCATGTTTAGTGGGCTTGTTGGTCCTAAAAATGAAAAATATTCATTTCAGATAAAAAAAAGTTTTTAAAATTTGGTAAAATGAAAACACTCTTTTTTATAAACCACAGTAAGTTCATATTGCAATGAAAGAGCAACATTTTTGGCGCTTCGTTCAAGAGCATTTAGGTTGGTTTCGGTGCACAGGGACACAGCAAACTTTTCAGTTGAGTGCAAAATCTTCTCAAATTTTCACATATTTCACTTTAGGCAAAATATAGCTTTGCTTACTTTCATATCACTTATAAAATGTTTTGACAACGAATAATATGTTTGACCAACGAACAGTTGGCTGTTTTATCTTTTCGGCTAACAATCAATTAGTAACAAAGAATTGGCCTGAATGTAATTCTATTGATGTTCAACAAAAGATAAAAAATGATACATTGAAAAATGCCAAAATAAAAAGAATAGTATACCTATTGTCCTGTCCGTTTGAGGTCTTCGTGCAGCTTCTAAAAAGTTTAGTACAAGGATATCAGAAGACATAAAAAACTACATTTTAGGGGTGTTTCTAGTACCCTTAAACCTCTGGCATTCATCAAAAGAATACTAATGCTTTATTTACCTTGATAATTTAAAGTGTATCTGTCCAATGTAAAATATAGTTTTGAATCAATGTAATTGCAGAGTCCAGAAATGTTTTTTACCTTCCTCCAGACAAAAACATCCCAGAAGGCAAAGCTTCCTCACAAAACAATAAAAAGTGGGCGTGACATTGGTGTGTCATATGAGCTTCTATTGTTTTTCGTGGACCTTCCTCCGGTCAGTGACCGTGCGACCGTAATGTTTTCCTGACTCTGTGTAATTGAATTCCTCTTAACATAGGAAATTGTGTATCTTGAGATATATTAGATACTTACGGATATGTTTGCAAGTTTGAGCGACCACATGCTGCGAAACTTGTTGTTCTTCAAAGGATTTTATATTCTTTATGATAAATACATTATCTTCACTGCCTGCAATTTTTACAACATCCTTTTTATTCACTGCTGTACCGACACCAATCACAAATATCGGTATATTCATTTTTGTCAACTCGTTTACTGCTGATAGTGGAGATGTACCAAGTGGGCCAATATGAGCGTTGTCTGTGACAACAAAAATTGCTCGTGATGCATTTCTACGCGCTTCGCTGGTATACCCTGTGAATAAAAGGACAACAGTGTGACTGTTTATGATCTAAGATATATAGCTCTTTAGCTGATTAAAGCAAAAATTATCATTATCCCGAAGAAGAAGATGAAGAACAAGAAAGAAAAAGAAGAAGGAGAAGAAGAAGAAAAAGAAGAAGGAGAAGAAGGAGAAGAAAAAGAAGGAGGAGAAGAAGACAAAGCAAAAGAAAAGAGAAAAGATATTTTCATATAAAAAATGATAATTCTACTCAGAGATCAGCAATGGTTAACTTGAAAAAAATTAAAGCATGTTTTACTTCTACAACAAATAATTTATTTAGAAGAAAATAAATGTTTGATTTAAAATTTGTATTTTTACTTTGGACACAAATGTTAACACCTTTGTAAAATGGTTGTAAAATGGATCTATTTGGCAATTATCCACTTACAGTGATTACATTATCATAAGATATGTAAGCAAAGTAAGATAAGCTTCTGGCTATCAAAAACTATATCTCAAAGAATTTATTTGATTAAATAGTAATTAAAAAGTAAGTCGGAAAAACTATTTTTCTCAGGAACTACTCCAAATGATACTATATTGGTTGAAAAAGAAATAAATATACCCTTAAAGATATGCTGAGCTCTACGTAGACCGAGGTCAAGCCTGCTTTGGCCTCCAACGAAAGGAGAATCCTGAAGAGCGTTCTTCAATGCAAAAACTGATTGCGAGTCTTTAAACGATATCACGGTCTTTGCTTGGGATCCGAACAGAACAATCGCTGCTTGTGTCCTTCCAGTTCCAATGTTGAATTGGTCCAAAATCGCTCCGACTAAATCTTTCTGAGACTTGTAATCGTATTCCATACTTTCTGACGAGTCCAACAGAAATAAAAGATCTGCAGCGGTGTTGCATTTGACGTTGTTTAGCTCTGTGTGACAAGATCATTACAATTAAAAAGACCCATCAAAACGTACTCTAACCTTTCTCACAATAAAAGTAATATACACTTATTTGAGGTGATAATTCGGTTTGATAACAAATTCGAGTAGCCCCTTAATTAACATGTTTAATTTTCAAATCAGCTAAATCCCGAAGTAAAAACGTACGAACACTAGAAAAATAAGGTGATTTATAAGATGCTTAAGATTATAGACAAAACTTTAAATATTTCAATTTCCCATACACAGAGGATGCCCGTTTAGCTTCGATTGATGGGTTAGTCAGGCCTAAGGCTCATTAGAAGAAAAGCACGTCTGTCCTATTGCTGTTTTTAGGTAGCAAATTCGAATATCAAAACATGAAAATGGCTTTCTGCTCGTGTTTCTGATTGGCCTATTTCGATCCACAACTGGGTATATATATTTCCTAGCGTAGATTTTCGGTCTATGTTCTGACGTTGAAACTCTGAAGAGTGTCAGACGAAAAGCTTTAGTTTACTAAATGTTTGTTTTTTCAAAGCCATTTTCAAGTTTTGTACCACCAAAAGATTGTTTGAATATTAAAACACGTCAAATTATGCATAAAAGGACAAATCATATACCTGAATGCAGCTGGTCGCAGATATTTCGAAGTACTGAACTGACAAAGTTGTCAACTTTCTGAGCTGGTGCTGCTTTGAAAGCGTTATCGGGGCTTATCTTTCTTAACAGACTGTAGGGAGTAAATTCTGTGCCAATAGCTATTATTTTAACACCGAGATCTTTCAAGGCTCTAGCTGCATCCTCAGGCTTAATGACTTCTCTTTGGATAGTTGGATGTGGTCCTGTTGTGAACATAACGAGCAATCTAACGGAGCTCATTGATTTGGTTCCTTTGGCCTTAAAGTAGTTAGATGCAGCCACCAGTCCTCGGTCTATTCGTCTTTGACTAGTGAATTGGGGCAAGAAATCGATTACGTCATTGACTTGCTCGATTCTGTCATTTTGACTAAAGTGACCTGATGATGTGGACATAGTGCCGTAGAGGATTAGTTCAATGGAGTAGCTGGGTACAACAGATGTCATTTTTTGTATAAACAGCTTTGCAATTGCTTTTTGCTTTTGGAATGAAGCTTTGTCTGCTTTTGAAGAGTCTATTGCTATTACCAGATCCACATGATTCCCACAGTGCTTCACTAAAAGGCAATGAGATTATGCTTCTTAGAACAGGGATTTTCATAAAAGATTGAACGTCATTTGAATCAGACTGCATACCTTGCTTTTACCTTTATTGCCTTTCGAATAAGAAGTATTCCGCTTGGTGTCAAGAAAAACCTTATATCACATATTGTAGTGCACTGAATGAGTTAAAATAACTTATACCAAGAAAAACACACAAACAAACAAAATTAAAAAGAAGGATCTTCTGTGCAGGATTTCAGATTTAATCTTACCTGGTTCTTTTGCTAAATTTGAACTCATGTCACTGAGTAAGCCGAAGCTTGTTGCCTTGGATCGAGCTAAAACAAACAATAACATAAGTAAGTAAAATAATTTCTTTAAATCATGACATAGGAACTTTTCAGACTTGTTGATCTACTTGATGCAATTTTTATAATTTACTCCATACATCACTACATTTTATACAATACAAGACAACTTCAAGTTTAAAATAAAGGACTACTTACATCCAACTTGGCAAAGTGATATTGCAACTGATGACGTCTGCTCTTCATCAAGCAGATTTTCAAATCTTTCCAATACTAGCACTTCGTCTTGGTAATCTGTTAAAAGCCTCAAAAGGTCTACTTTTCTTTTCTTTCCGATCGACAATATCAATAGCTTCACGTTATTGATTTCAAATTCTCTTTTTATCAACGGGGCAAAGATGTCCATGTTATCAAGATCAACTTCCTCTGCATCCAAGATCATCAATATAACTTTGCTTCTTGCTGCTAATGTGTTTGAGGCCATACGGAGAATAACTTCTTCTATTGAAGACACTATCTCTGTGGAGCTCACTTTACCCTGATAATGGTGCAATGAATCCAATTTGTTACCAAGTTCTGCAACGGTGTTTACCATAAACAGGCCTGAGTCTATCGTTGTATTCAATGTTGCTACTCCAGCTTTGCTCCCAGATCCCTCAAACACTTTAAATAACTTTTGTAGGAAGACTTTTCCCATGGTTAATCTACGCTCTTTGTCCTTCGATGTCCCAATAATAAATCCAAAGTCAAATGCTCTCGAACATGGTTGTTGCAGTACTATATCTGAGATGAGATTTGAAAACCGTCATTGAATACCGTTACAGTTTAAAACCTATTTAATACATCATCTCAAAACCCCACCGTTTATCCTAAACTTTTCGCAACTTACAGAGTTTGAAAGTAAAAGTGGATAGCAGAGATATAATTTTTTTAATTGCTTTCCCACAATAAAATTCTTTTAAAGAATCTTCTAGGTTGAATGATGAAAATTGTGATTTAAAAATGCAGGGAAGATGGCTTACCAGCAAGTAGCATTGATTTATCTGCGATCGCTTTTAAGTATCTAGGCTGTAATGCCTCCTTCACACTACCCACCAAGTAAACATCTTTTGGGCTTTTAACAATCCTCGTTATGTAAGGAAAGTTGTTGGTTTTACCAAATACAGCAATTATAACTCTTATACCAGCCTGTTCCAGTGGTGCCATGGCAGCTGTAACTGACGTATCATTGATGTTTCGTAGAGAATTTTCATGGGTGAGAAGAACGACAATCTTTGGCATATCGATCCTTGACCCGGTTCGAGGTGCAAAAAGCTTCTTTTTGATCAATGCTAACTTCTCTTCAAGTGTATTCAAGTTGTTCATTAGTTGATAACTTTTCAAGTTCTTTTCGAATTCAGGGCCTTTGAAGTACTTGTCAAGTGGAATCGTTATCCATTTTTCGTTACTAAAGAGTAGCGCGCCAACTCTGTTTGTATTTTGTGATATATTGTATTCTTGCGCTAAGCTTCCTGCAAAATCTTGCAATCCCGAGAAATCATCCGCAAGAAAATGTACAGATGTGTCCATAACTAAGCCTATATCGACTCCCTTCGGCCCACGAACTGAAAACAGAGAATGCATAATCTTACAAAAGAAAACCAGAGATGACCAGGGAGAGAATTATCAAGACTAAAAAACATTGAAATCCTAGAAAATAAGTAGACGCAAAATTCAGAAAAGCTAGATGGAAGAGAAACGATGCAATGTTGTTTCCATATAGACTGTCAAGAATTAAGAATATATTCATGTACAGCAATATGTTTTCTTAAGACTCTAAATATGAATCGATTTTGTTTTGCTGACGTCGATGAGATTTTTGTTGGTCCTTATCCCTTAGAAAAACTTACCAGGTTTTGTGCATGAATCAAAAGTGAGATTTTTCATAAAATCTTTTGACAGAAGTTCGTCGAAATCTTTTGCATGATAAAAATGTTTTCTGTCGGTGACCAGGCTTATCAACTCATCCTTATCAACCTTGGGTCCAATTCCAATTACTATAACTTTGATCCCTTCTTCGTGGAATGGTCTCATTGCCTCATATGGAGATGCTATATCGGAATCGGGAGACTGCTTCCCGTCAGTTAGCAAGACAAGCAACTTGCTTGCGCGTGGTCGCATACCATTATCAACTGAAAAAAGGTCGCTAAAAGCTTTCTTTAGGCCCATGTCAATTCGTGTAGTGCCACCTAGAAGTGGTAGATCATCAACTGCTCTGTTGAAAAATTGTGAAGATACAAAGTCTGATAGTTTGATCATTAATCTTGCTCTGTCGCTAAATATCACAGCTCCAGCCCGATTACCAGCTTTTGTAATTTCAAGAAGACTGACAAAACTCTTTACAAATTCTTTTTCCTTTTGATAATCTCGGAACAGGCTCGCAGACGAATCGATTACAAATCCAACCTCAAGTTCACTTCGACACTTTTCCAACGCTAAAAGATAATTTGTGTATTATGATATACCAAACACACTTCAAATGGTCCTAAAAACAACACACCAGGGTGGAAAATTTGTCAGATAGCTCCAGAATGACTTTTAAAACAAATAAACAGTCATCCCGTTTACATGGTAGAGGATTATACGTGACATAGTAATGATGAAGAGATGCAAAGTGAAAGGCTAAATTGGTGACTGTAACCAATAATATGTTATTGATTGTCTCCCAGTCTACGTCTTTCCATATTAGGCTTATTTATAGTGTTTGACGACCTTAACTAGAAGCATAATTTTCTTTATACGCCTAGGCGAAGAATTTTATCAGGCTTTTGGTAATTCTTAAAGAATTTGTTGACTGCTTCAAAATTTTCCAATTTTGGGGCCTTTATTTAAAGCAATGACAATTTTGAAGTGCATATTTGCCACATGGCATTAAGCAGAATCTTGTATGAGAGAGCATGCTAATAAATAATGCAGATTAACTTGCCTATCATGGTAAGCAGTAGTTTTATAACAATGCTACATACGAATTTTACCCTAATTCATCCGTACAAAAAATGTCTGGTAACGTGTAATCGGGAGAAACTATAAACAAAAATCCTCGCTAATGTAAATTGATTAGAAAAAGGTTCCATCAACAAACCTATCTCGCAAAAATGGCCAACAACACTCCTAACAAAAGGGACTGACTTCACATGCTTAAAGTTCTTTGCATGGAGAAAAAGTGATGAATTCCCTGAAATTTCAAGAAGTTCCTCTCTGTTTACTCTTGCTCCTATTCCAATGACAATGATTTTGACATTTTGCTTCTCACGAATCTCCGAAGCAATTGTGGCTGGGTCAACGGCATCTTGATCTCTTGTTTGTTGACCATCTGTTAGCAAGAAAATGATTTTCGGCAAAACACGACCAGCGCTTGTAGACTGCTGGAAAAGTTTGTCTTTGGCCAATGTGAGAGCTTTGTCAATCCTAGTCGTGTAACCCATAAACGGAAGTTTATCTACAATCTCCTTGAACTGTGCAGAAGTTCTAAAATCTGATAGTTTGAGACTAAGCTCAGCATCGTAGCTGAATGTGATAATGCCGGCTCTGCTTCCACCTTCTTTGATTCCTACAGAGTCGGCTAGAATTTTCACAAACTCTTTCTCTTTGCCGTAGTCTCTCCTCAGGCTTCCAGACGAGTCGACAATGAATCCAATTTCGGCAGCATTGATGCAAGGCTCAACTACAAAACAAATCGTATGCCATTCAGAATTTGCAATGAAAGTGAGAAGAAAAAAATGGCAACTGTATCTTGAGCACATTTAACGATGTCCAGCCTTTCATCAAAGTTTTGTGTAGCTTTCAAAGTTTCAGCAAACCCAATGGACACATCATCACAGGTTTGACAAATCAAATGGGCTCTTAACCGTCAGCTATGAGAGTTATACCGACCCAATTCAATAATAATATGCCTTTTGCTGGTATTGAAAAACAGGACACACTGTATTCAAGGCTTGCTCAAACGCTAACACAATATTTGACATATTATTTGCATAGAGAAACTCACTGGTTTGCAGGCAAGCAGATCCGGTAATGCCGTCAACAAACTCTGTAGATTTCAGCTGCTCAAAGTCTTTGGCTAAGTACAAGTCGTCTTGTGATTTTACCAAGGTGCGCAGCTCAGCTGGGTTAACACCTCCGCCAATACCGACAACGATTACCTTGATATCGGCATCGTGGAATTTTTGAATGATTTGCGAAGGTGACACCGCATCAGCATCTTTAGTCTGCTCACCATCAGTAAGTAGAACAAGTATCTTTGGAACTTTAATCCTCATTCCATTTCTTTCGCTAAACATTTCATTGTAAGCCGTCCTCAATGCTTTGTCGATACGAGTAGTGCTTTTCATTAGAGGCAGATTATCAACAGCTCTACCGAAACCATCTGCATTGTTGTAATCCGAGAACTTGATACTCAGATCAGAATGATAACTGAACAACACCACTGCGACATGACTACCTCTGTCAGAAACATCAAGGTTTCTTGCAACGAGCTTTACAAACTCTTTCTCTTTTGCGTAATGACGGGCCAGACTGCCTGACGAGTCGACAATGAAGCCAACATCGGCTACAGCTTTACATTCTACACGATCCTCAGCTGGAAAACAAAGAAAAAATTACATTCATGCAACATGCATAACATGCTATTGAATATGTGAAGAGAGCAGGTTAAAGTGTAGCAATAAGTTCTTTTCATAACCAAATGCAACATTCACGAATAAACGAATAAAGACATATGACAGAGGATGCTTTATTGCAGTCAACTGACTTATGTACTTGCGTATGTTAAGGAAACTTGCCTTTCTTGCAACCCTCACTAGAGACATTTTGAACAAACGAGCTTGACTTGAGCTTATCAAAATCCGCTGCAAGGAAGAGATTGCTTTCAATTCCTGCTATTCTTTTTAGTTCATCTGGCTTTACACCTCTGCCGATTCCAATGACAACCAGTCTTATTCCTTGGTCGCGCAGCTCTTTTGCAATAGTATCTGGATTTTCAGCACCAGCGTCTTGAGTTTGCGAACCATCAGTTAGAAGGAACACCAATTTGGGCGCGTCTTCTCGAGCACCAACCATGAGCTTTTCCTTGGCAAGGCGAAGAGCCTTATCGATTCTCGTTGTATAACCCATGAGTGGAATACTATCGATCGCCTTATTGAAGTCATCTATATTCTTGAATTTGTCGACGGGGATGCTCAGCTCTGCATGGTAACTAAACGTAATCACACCGGCACGGCTTCCTGCTTCTGATATACCGAATGATTTTGCAAGTTCTTTGACAAATTCCTTTTCTTTGTCATATTCACGGCGCAGACTTCCGGAAGAGTCGAGAATGAAACCAACATTTGCGACGTTCTTGCATTTAACAACTAAACGAATAAAACAAAAAGAAACGGTTGTTTAAATAATATTTTAAAAGGCTTCCAGTGTCGATTGAAATACAAAATTCGACAAAGCATAGGTATACCCCTAAAATAAATGGCTGAATTCGCCATTCTTACCACTTTCTTTACATGCACTCTTTGCTATGGCCTCTACAAGCGTTCTCTCTCTCAGTTCATCGAATCGCTCCACATAGAATATGTCAGTTGGTGACTGAACTAATTTGTTTAGAAGCTCTTTATTTGCGTCTTTGCCTGCTACCAAAACAAGTAATTTAATTCCGGCTTCATGGTAGCGACTTGCTGCTAAAGCTAGAGAATTGCCATCAGCCTTGTCCAAATACATTGCAGTCGTTATCACTGTCAGGATCTGAGGAACGTCCAGCCTGGCCCCGTTCGAATCGTTAAACAGTTCGTCATACGCTGCCAACAAAGCCTTATCTAGTCGATTTTTGCCCCCCACGGCTGTCATTTTGTCTACAGCAGCCTCGAAGTTTGTCATACTTTCGTGCTCTCCCAGCCGTATAGCTAGTTTTGGCACATTTCCTGTTACAATAATACCTGCGTGAGCGTTCTCTTTGCTGACTTTGAAGCTGCCAACAACAGCATTAACGAAAGCCTTTTGCCTGCTTTTCGCTGAATCATCAATGCTTTCCGAGCCATCAAAGACAAAGCCAAGATCAGCACGTATTTCACATGCAAACGGCTTTGCAGCTGAAAAAGAAGCAGCAAAGGAAAACGTCAACTTCATCGATGTAGTTTACAATTTTCACCAACAAAAGGAAATACTGCAACATATTTGACAATGGAATAACACAATGAAGCAAACAGATCGGTTAGAATTAAGTACTAGACGTGTTCAGGGATTCAATCAAGCAAACAAAGTCAAATTTTATTTTAACAGTGCTAAAATTTCTCAAAGTCGAAGAAGAGTGTGTGATTCATCGTACACATTAAGCAACTCCTGTTGAAAGAGAATGCAACAACTAATTACAAATTTTAGGCTAAATATATATATATATATATATTAATGTATGTATAAACGTATAAATACTGTTTATTAAAAAAAATTTGAAATGGTAGATTCAGTGGACTTACCCTGCTCACAGCTGCTTTTTGAGACACCATCTATGAACTTGTTGGACATGAGCTCGTCAAAGTTTGATGCCTGATAAACATTAGATGCCTTACCAGCCAAGCTTAGCAATTCTTGCTCGTTTACTTCCTTCCCAATTCCTATTACAATCAATATTACCCCACTGTTTCTTATTTGGTCAGCTATAAGTGCGGGATCTACCGCATCAGCGTCTTTGGTCTGTGACCCGTCTGTGAGGAGAACAAGAAGCTTGGGAATGCCATCGCGGCCACCGTTTCCTTTGCTGAACATTTCGTCCCTTGCCATTTTCAAGGCTTTGTCGATCCTCGTCGTTCGGCCAAACATTGGGAGACTATCAACTGCATTCATGAACGTACGCGCATCCTGGTGCTCATTCAGCTTGACACTATGCTCTGTGTGCCAGCTAAATGTGATGATGCCAGCTCTACTTCCATTTGGTGATATATCTAAGCTTTCGGCAAGCCTCTTTACGAATTCTTTCTCTTTGTGGTATTCGCGCCTCAGACTACCAGACGAATCGACGACGAAACCTACGTCCACTAGATTCTTGCATACTGGACCTACAGGCAAAACAAGACAAACAATAATGAACAGTGCACTTTGCTGAACACTAACACGAAGATATTGGCAAAAGAAGGGCATGGTTGTTTGCAATGGTTGCCGCCTAAAAGCTCTTTTCGTTGCCTTTACTCACTTAATTTATAAACGTACGTACTCTCAAGTAGAGGGCATGGCTGAATGTCTGGTCAAGCAACTCAAGCAACTTGAAAACTACATTTTACATCAAAAATAACATCATACCCTTTCTGCATGAAGCATTAGCAACTGCATCGACGAAGGCTCCTGAAGAAAGCTGATCAAAATCGTTTGCAATGTAAATATCATTTTCAGATTTGACAGCTCTCAGCAACTCCTCCTTTTTCACATTTCCTCCCACCCCCACAGCTAGAACCTTGATATTTGATTCGTGCAGGGGCAGAGCTGCCTGCAGGAGTGCCTGTGCTCCAGCATCTTTAGACTGCACTCCGTCTGTCAGCAAAACTATCACTTGTGCTGCTTCAGGTCTCATACCATGTTCTGGCTTGAAAATACCGTCGAAAGCAAGCTCAAGCGCCTTGTCCATTCTCCTATCTCCACCAAGCAGCACAAGGTTGTCTACAGTCTCTTCAAAGTCTTCAAGTCTGTTTGTGTCCGAAAACTTCATGCTCACTCGACTGGAGTTGCCAAAAACAACGATACCTGCACGAGTTCCGTCTGCAGACAGATCGAAGCTTCTTGCCATCTCCTTTACGAAAAGTTTTGCCTCATCATAGTGCGTTGCCATACTTTTTGATGAGTCGACTACGAAAGCAATGTCTACCCTCGACTTACACATGTTCAACCCAGGATCCGCTAATGGTACAGCTGTCGAAAAGGAAAGTAAAAATATTATACCTGGCTGTATTTGAGTACAAATTGCGTATTCTGCTCTAGCTACGAGCTTCAATGGAAACATGTACAAAGTATGTATCACAAGTTCAAGGTAACAATGCCAACTAACAAGGTAATTGCCATTCGAAACAGTTTCTCGACTAGATATGAAAGACAATCTCCTATCTACAATCTACAATTCAAATTTCAGTTACACTAAAAACAGGCTGCACCCTTAGTTACACACCTGAACGGCAAAACATGTCAGCGACCTTGTTTACGAACGGAGCAGAATTGATGAGTTGTTTGAAGCCCTTAGCAAGGAAGACGTTGGAACTATCTCCTGCAATTTGATTTAACTCGGTGGGTCACTACTTCTTCCTATGCCAATGACAAACGTCTTAGCGCCAAACTGCATGCGAATCTCCGAAGCAATTGTGGCTGGGTCAACGGCATCTTGATCTCTTGTTTGTCGACCATCTGTTAGCAAGAAAAATGATTTTCGGCAAAACACGACCAGCGCTTGTAGACTGCTGGAAAAGTTTTGTCTTTGGCCAGTGTGAGAGCTTTGTCCAATCCTAGTGTGTAACCATAAACGGAAGTTTATCTACAATCTCATTGAACTGTGCAAGTAGTTCTAAAATCTGATAGTTTGACACTGAGCTCAGCATCGTAGCTGAATGTGATAATGCGGCTCTGCTTCCACCTTCTTCGATTCCTACAGAGTCGGCTAGAATTTTCACAAAACTCTTTCTCTTGCCGTAGTCTCTCCTCAGGCTTCCAGACGAGTCGACAATGAATCCAATTTCGGCACATTGATGCAAGGCTCAACTCAAAAACAAATCGTATGCCATTCAGAATTTGCAATGAAAGTGAGAAGAAAAAAATGGCAACTGTATCTTGAGCACATTTAACGATGTCCAGCCTTTCATCAAGTTTTGTGTAGCTTTCAAAGTTTCAGCAAACCCGATGGACACTCATAACAGGTTTGACAAATCAAATGGGCTTTTAACCGTCAGCTATGAGAGTTATACCGACCAATTTAATAATAATATGCCTTTTGCTGGTATTGAAAAACAGGACAACATGTATTCAAGGCTTGCTCAAACGCTAACACAATATTTGACATATTATTTGCATAGAGAAACTCACTGGTTTGCAGGCAAGCAGATCCGGTAATGCCGTCAACAAACTCTGTAGATTTCAGCTGCTCAAAGTCTTTGGCTAAGTACAAGTCGTCTTGTGATTTTACCAAGGTGCGCAGCTCAGCTGGGTTAACACCTCCGCCAATACCGACAACGATTACCTTGATATCGGCATCGTGGAATTTTTGAATGATTTGCGAAGGTGACACCGCATCAGCATCTTTAGTCTGCTCACCATCAGTAAGTAGAACAAGTATCTTTGGAACTTTAATCCTCATTCCATTTCTTTCGCTAAACATTTCATTGTAAGCCGTTCTCAATGCTTTGTCGATACGAGTAGTGCTTTTCATTAGAGGCAGATTATCAACAGCTCTACCGAAACCATCTGCATTGTTGTAATCCGAGAACTTGATACTCAGATCAGAATGATAACTGAACAACACCACTGCGACATGACTACCTCTGTCAGAAACATCAAGGTTTCTTGCAACGAGCTTTACAAACTCTTTCTCTTTTGCGTAATGACGGGCCAGACTGCCTGACGAGTCGACAATGAAGCCAACATCGGCTACAGCTTTACATTCTACACGATCCTCAGCTGGAAAACAAAGAAAAAATTACATTCATGCAACATGCATAACATGCTATTGAATATGTGAAGAGAGCAGGTTAAAGTGTAGCAATAAGTTCTTTTCATTACCAAATGCAACATTCACGAATAAACGAATAAAGACATATGACAGAGGATGCTTTATTGCAGTCAACTGACTTATGTACTTGCGTATGTTAAGGAAACTTGCCTTTCTTGCAACCCTCACTAGAGACATTTTGAACAAACGAGCTTGACTTGAGCTTATCAAAATCCGCTGCAAAGAAGAGATTGCTTTCAATTCCTGCTATTCTTTTTAGTTCATCTGGCTTTACACCTCTGCCGATTCCAATGACAACCAGTCTTATTCCTTGGTCGCGCAGCTCTTTTGCAATAGTATCTGGATTTTCAGCACCAGCGTCTTGAGTTTGCGAACCATCAGTTAGAAGGAACACCAATTTGGGCGCGTCTTCTCGAGCACCAACCATGAGCTTTTCCTTGGCAAGGCGAAGAGCCTTATCGATTCTCGTTGTATAACCCATGAGTGGAATACTATCGATCGCCTTATTGAAGTCATCTATATTCTTGAATTTGTCAACGGGGATGCTCAGCTCTGCATGGTAACTAAACGTAATCACACCGGCACGGCTTCCTGCTTCTGATATACCGAATGATTTTGCAAGTTCTTTGACAAATTCCTTTTCTTTGTCATATTCACGGCGCAGACTTCCGGAAGAGTCGAGAATGAAACCAACATTTGCGACGTTCTTGCATTTAACAACTAAACGAATAAAACAAAAAGAAACGGTTGTTTAAATAATATTTTAAAAGGCTTCCAGTGTCGATTGAAATACAAAAGTGGGGTAATATTGATTGTAATAGGAATTGGGAAGGAAGTAAACGAGCAAGAATTGCTAAGCTTGGCTGGTAAGGCATCTAATGTTTATCAGGCATCAAACTTTGACGAGCTCATGTCCAACAAGTTCATAGATGGTGTCTCAAAAAGCAGCTGTGAGCAGGGTAAGTCCACTGAATCTACCATTTCAAATTTTTTTTAATAAACAGTATTTATACGTTTATACATACATTAATATATATATATATATATATATATTTAGCCTAAAATTTGTAATTAGTTGTTGCATTCTCTTTCAACAGGAGTTGCTTAATGTGTACGATGAATCACACACTCTGCTTCGACTTTGAGAAATTTTAGCACTGTTAAAATAAAATTTGACTTTGTTTGCTTGATTGACTCCCTGAACACGTCTAGTACTTAATTCTAACCGATCTGTTTGCTTCATTGTGTTATTCCATTGTCAAATATGTTGCAGTATTTCCTTTTGTTGGTGAAAATTGTAAACTACATCGATGAAGTTGACGTTTTCCTTTGCTGCTTCTTTTTCAGCTGCAAAGCCGTTTGCATGTGAAATACGTGCTGATCTTGGCTTTGTCTTTGATGGCTCGGAAAGCATTGATGATTCAGCGAAAAGCAGGCAAAAGGCTTTCGTTAATGCTGTGTTGTTGGCAGCTTCAAAGTCAGCAAGGAGAACGCTCACGCAGGTATTATTGTAACAGGAAATGTGCCAAACTAGCTATACGGCTGGGAGAGCACGAAATATGACAAACTTCGAGGCTGCTGTAGACAAAATGACAGCCGTGGGGGGCAAAAATCGACTAGATAAGGCTTTGTTGGCAGCGTATGACGAACTGTTTAACGATTCGAACGGGCCAGGCTGGACGTTCCTCAGATCCTGACGGTGATAACGACTGCAATGTATTTGGACAAGGCTGATGGCAATTCTCTAGCTTTAGCAGCAAGTCGCTACCATGAAGCCGGAATTAAATTACTTGTTTTGGTAGCAGGCAAAGACGCAAATAAAGAGCTTCTAAACAATTTAGTTCAGTCACCAACTGACATATTCTATGTGGAGCGATTCGATGAACTGAGAGAGAGAACGCTTGTAGAGGCCATAGCAAAGAGTGCATGTAAAGAAAGTGGTAAGAATGGCGAATTCAGCCATTTATTTTAGGGGTATACCTATGCTTTGTCGAA